CCTCGGCTGTCGCTGCGATGAGCCACGTGGACCAGTCTCGGCTGGCAGTCCAGTCACCCAGATGCACCCGCCATTGCGGCTTCTAGCAATACAAAGTCCGCCCGCCCTGGCTGCAGCTGCTGTTACGAGTTAAGCCCCTCTCCACCACTGCAGATTCTGATACCAAAGTCCGTCCGCCCCTGCTCTAGTTGCTGTTCTGTTTTACTGCTGATTATCCAAGACCCAACTCACCAGCCACTGCAGCTTCTGATATCAAAGCCGAAGTTCGTCCTCCCCTGCCGCTGTTTTCAGCCAGTCCCTGCTCAGCCTGCCCATTCACTCACCCTATCTCACCCGCCATACTATCATGTTATACACAAGGCCCGACTCACCAGCCACTGCAGCTTCTGGTAGTCGAAGTTCGTCCGCCCCTTCTGTCCCTGCTGTTACCAATTCACCATCCAGCTCATGAGAACAACCCAAGACGTGACTTACCCACCACTGTAGCTTCTGGTAGTCGAAGTTCGTCCGCCCCTGCCACTGCTTTAAGTCAGTCTCTGCTCAGCCTACCCATTCACTCACCCTCACCCGCCATACTATCATGTTATGCACAAAAACCCTACTTACCCACCACTGCAGCTTCTGGTAATCGAAGTTCGTCCGCCCCTGCCGCCGGCAGTTGTGCGACGACCGGATGAACGGACACGATGCGCCGTTGTACCTCGGAAGCCTCCTGGAAGGCACCCACATTCCGCGGGAAATGCTGCAGTTCCATGCGCGCTGGGGAGGCTTGGGGGGCGTTGCTGGGGAGTGGGGTAGGGGGAGGGGTAGCGGTTGAGAAGGGGGGAGGGGGAGAGGAAGAGCGGGAGGGGGGTTGGGGGAATGGGGGTGTGGGGAGAGGGGAGGGGAGGGAGGAGTGGAAAGAAGGGGGAGAGGGGGGGCGGGGGAAGAAGGTATGAAGATGGAAAGAGCAGGGGAGGGATGGGGGGCAGAGGAGGGGAGGGGGGAAGAGCGGGAGTGGGCGGCAGAATGGGGGAGGAGGAGAGGGAGAGGAGTTTTTTTGCGGCACCTCAAATAAGGAGCGCCTGGAAGGCTTATGGTTGCTCGTTGGGTGTGGGGGAGAAAGGGAAGAGTAGGGACAAGGCTTTGTTTTGCTTCGTTCTGTTTGGCTCGACGCAATGTTCGGCGATAATTGCTTCCGGAAGATTTCGAATGCGAGGCTACTCACTGGAGCCTGACTGGTATCCTGCGCGATTCCCGCCGTCAACTGCGCCGCGAGACCCGCTCAGCAGGGCGGCAGTCATCAGGCACGACACCAGAAGATGCGTCGACCACAACTTATGGGACCCTCGCCACTGGTGCTTCATCCATGACCGTTGATTGTGCTCTTGCCGCTGCTGCGCTATCGATTCTATCACACCCGTGCCCAGGAGTCGCATGGTCGTGCAATATAACGCGTGAATATGCAGTATCAGTATCCGGATGTGGTTTTGAAGGCCCTTCCAGAGTCGAATCCAGGCGTACGCAGTATCCGAAGTCCGTGAAATCTAGCGTGGCGATTCAATCAATGCAAGTCGAGCTATTGCTACAAAGCGAGTCGGTTCCTAGCGGGGACGAGCGATACCGGAGGTGAAACTGCTGCAGCGCGCGGCGAGGGCGACGAATGCATCATGTAACGCCTACTGCGACGACGGATGACGGCGACAGAAGAGTGAGGACATATTAGCGACCCGCATCGCATCGCAATGTGCGCAAGGGCCTGGTGGAGCCAGGGGAGAGATGAACGAGCGAAAATGGGTTACGGAGACAAACAGGGGTTCTGGGGCGAATCGAGTTATCAGGAGCAACCATGGATTCTTTGAGACGAGGGAGTCCGCTTCCCGCCGACCATGTACGTTGCAGGGGCATTTGATCTCGAAGTCCAGAAGATGAACCAGAGAAACTTCAGGACGTGTTTGTTTCTGAAGAGTCCCATGCGAGTCATGGGAGAGATGAACTGTGCTGAGTGCAAACGAAAATTGAATGCTGGAATATAGTTTCGTTGCTGCTGGTAGCCACACTCGCGAACTAGCTTCGGGTTGCGGGTGTCTGGAAAAGCCGATGTGCAGAACGCGTTCCGAGGGTCCTTTTCCTCATTCAAGGGCGGCGGAAGTGGCGAGGCGCGATGTCGGCTATTCGGGGTCTTGTGTGGTATGATTTACTGTACACAATTCCGACTCGAGAAGTGCCTGTAAAGTGGATGCGATAGAGTTAGCTGCGATATTGCGCAAGCAACTGGTTCGTCCTAACAGCTACAAAACGTTACAACGGCACACGATTTAACAGACCAACTAAACCAGCAAGCACATCTGTGCACTCTCTCGAGTTATCAATTGTATTTCCTCAAAATGGTGCAGGAAAAACAAACACAATACTAACCAGTGGTTTGTACAAACAGCTGGCTCGACCTAACAAAAGGCAACTCAAGAAATCATTAAAGGCCCTTCTCTTGGCGAATCAAAGGCACGCAATGCTATTCAGACTCAAGCAACGAATCACTGAGGTGGCATCCCTTGCTGCTGCCACATCTGTTGAGGCATTTGCTGCATGTAACCCATCCCAGCCATGGCATTTGCAGCCCGCTGTTGCTGCTGCTGATGGGCAGCCTGAGCCTGCTGTTGTTGCTGTTGCTGTTGCTGCTGCTGCTGCTGCTGCTGCTGCTGTTGCTGTTGCTGTTGCTGTTGCTGCTGTTGCTGCTGCTGTTGCTGCTGCTGCTGCTGGCCGTACAGGGAAGGATCCATTCCCATAGCATGCCTGTTGACCAGCATCTGATGCTGTGCCATAATGGCTGCAGTAGGCTGCTGCATGGTGGCCGCGGTTGGTGCAGCAGTCTGTGGCATATAATACATGCCACCAAACGGTAGATCTGCTGCGCCAGGCATACCTACAGGTGGGCGCGGGACGGCGCCCAAAGCGCTGGCTGCTGCACCAGGCCCGACCCCAACGGCTCCCACTACGCCTCCCTCTTCACGCAACTCATCACGAGGGACAATATCTACCAGGAAGTCGAAAATGTCCGTCCGCGTTATAGCGCCAGCAATGTCATTCTTCTGCAGGGTGCGACGCTTGTTCTCTTCGGTGTGAATCCAGGAACGCAGGGTGAGCTCCAAAATAAACATTTCGCAAGCCTTCGCAAAGACCACAGGAGCTTCTGCACTTATCATGCGAACGTCTTCGTCAGCCTTCATGATCTTCTTGATACGAGCGAGCGGAAGCTGATGGTTCTTAAAATCATTTGCGTGCTCCACGTCACGCATCTGCTGCTGCCAGAAGCTCTGCAGCTGCTGCTGGTGTTGCTGCTGAAGGTGCTGATATTGCAACTGCTGCTGTAGCGCCTGGGGCTGGTACCCTGGTGCACCAGCCGGTAGCGACCCCACTTGAGCAGCAGGCACGGATCCAGCAGCACCGGCTGCTGAAGCCGGGTTTGTCTGATACTGTGCCATCATGTGAGGAGACATTGTAGGTTGACCCATCGCGGCAGCATAGGCCATCTGGCCTGGCTGACCGGGAATATTTATCATACCAGGCTGCTGCGCCATGATGCGAGACCTTTACTGCCCGACCACCGCACCGTAGTGGAACAACCTCGTTGACTTGAATGCCTGCTTGGGTGGCGAATGACCTGCCAAAATAAACAAGGACACGGATCGTAGAGTTAAGCAACAATAGAACCGAAGGATGTCCAAAATATTTACTCAACGGTTGTACGGATGGAATGTCGCTGAACCGCGTCGCCTAACAGAGGACAATAATATTATCATATCAACCATGTACGGGCCGGGTGTGAAAAGTGGTCACGCAGACTAGGCACAACTGCAGGACCAAACAGATATTGCGGCGACGTGAGGTAAGGTGCATCGATAAACCAATAGTACAGGAGAACTAGAGTAACGGCTGCCAGACTAAATATATAGTTAGCCAAATCTAGGCATCGTAACTGGTGCTAAAACGTAGTGAAATCATGGGGGAACCGAAACGAGTGGTAGTGCGTACCTCTTGGGAGAGCAACGAATCAGATTGAACTGGGAAACTCTGAACTGGGAGAGGCGAATGGAGGGCGTCCAAGTTTTGCAGGACGGTGAGATGCAAGCTAGGGAGATAAACGGACGAGTGAGATGCGGCGACTGGCGAACGATCAATGGCGTTTTGAGCCTAGAAGCAGGGAGCGGTTGAGCGTGAAGCAATGGATGAGGAGGGACTGGTGGGACGGACGGACGGATGAAGGGGAGAAACCAGACCAGCAGGTTTGGAAACCCCAGGTGCTCTTTTTTGCAACAGTTAGGCTGGACGAAGCAGCCAGATCTCAGAGTCGAGCCTAGCGAAGTAACCGATGAGCCGTTGGATTGGAATAGATCCATGAAAGGCTTTGAAACCCTAGCTCAGGTACCTGGCCGTTTGAACTTCTAAAACGGGTACAGCCATTCCTCCAGTCAAGCAATCAGACTAGTGTTCCCTTGTATATATGCATCTAGTGGATCCGAGAGACTTTAAATTGTTTTTGTATTGTAAGAAGCTGCAATGATGCACAGCTTGTTATTCCTTCTACAGGGCCGGCCTGCAAGGAGAACAGCGGTCACAGGGGAGAATCTACATTTTGGCATTAGGATTGAAAGATCATTGGTCTCAAGTAGTTTCTTGCTTCAGTCGGTCCATTCATCGCAGCATCCCGACTGTAAGCCAGTTCCTTTTGCCATCTGTCTTTCGCCCGTTCCAGCACGGCCTCTGCATATCCCGACCAGTGAGCCGCTGCACGTTCCGTCGTTACTCCTCACTTTTTCCCAAGCTGAGTTTCTGTCGTCATTGCTATCGACTTCAGGATTTAGCCGATTCGTTTCCTTGAGAGATTCGGTTCAGACATTCTAGATCCCGCGGCTGGCGTCATCATGACGTCTTCATCACCCCCCCGGCAGCCAGAATCCTCGTTAGATTCACCTTTGCCTGACGTCACTCGGCTGAGTCTCACACGAAGCGGCAGCGGCGGGATGAGCGGCAGAAGCGGAGGACACGTGTCGTCGTTTCGTTCGCTAAAGCCCCTGGATTTGAGGAGCGAGGAGTCGCGGAAAGCGGCGATCCCGCTGGGGCCGGAGGGCGCGGTGATGCACGGGCGGCTCGACAACGGCGTGACGTACTACGTGCGCCGCAACGCCAAGCCGCAGCACCGCGCAGCGCTGGCGCTGGCGATCCGCGTGGGGTGAGGATGGGAGGAGCATGGGGGATCAGGGGGGAAGGAGGTTGACGGGGGAGAGCGGGTGAGGTGGGAGAGTGGGTGGGAAGGAACAGCAGACTTGAACAATTCCCAAACGCGGTTTTGCCCCTTTCTTTCTCCCCATCTCTCTCCCGCCTCCCGCTATCCACCATCCACCATCCGCCATCCCGCCTTCCGTCAATCCGCCATCCGTCAATCCGTCATCCCGCATCCGCAATCCCCAATTGGCCTTCCCCCATTCGCCTTCCCCCATTCGCCTTCCCCCATCCGCCTTCCCCCATTCGCCATTCCGCAATCCGCCGTCTCGCATCCGCCATCACCCATCCGCCATATCCCATTCCCCTTTCCCCATTCGCCTTCCCCCATCCGCCTCCTCCTATTCGCCATCCCGCAATCCGCCATCCCCCATCCGCCTTCCCGCTCCGCGTTCCCCCCTCTGCTATCCGCCACCCCCCTTCCCCCATCTGCCTTCCCCATTCCGCCAGCTCCCTGGCGGAGGAGGAGGCGGAGAGGGGAGTGGCGCACGTGCTGGAGCACGTGGCCTTCCCCGCCACGCGCCTCCACAGCAACCACCACGTCGTGCTTGCAAAGAACACAGTCGAATTCTCTCCTAAACCCTCCCATTTCTCCCACCTCGCTCCCGCTTCCCTCGCCATCCGCCATCCGCCATCCGCCTTCCCCCGCCCGCCATCCGCCTTCCCCCATCCGCCATCCGCGGCCCTGCAGATCTCTAGCTGAGGAGGAGGCAGAACGAGGAGTGGCGCACATTCTGGAGCACCTAGCCTTCAGCGCAACGAGGCGCTACAGCAACCACGACATCGTGCGCTTCCTCGAGAGCATCGGCGCCGAGTTCGGCGCGTGCCAGAACGCGTACACGTCAGCAGACGAGACGGTGTTTGAGCTGCAGCTGCCCGTGGATAAGCCCGAGCTGCTGCCGCACGCCATCTCCATCCTTGCTGACTTTGCCAGCGAGGTGAGCAGGGGGAGTGGGTTTGTGCAATGGGATGGGATGGGAGTTGGGGTGTCTCTCTCGAGCTGCAGTGCCGTGCAGCTGCAGGTGGATAGGCCTGAGCTGCTGCCGCACGCCGTGCCCATGCTTGCTGACTTTGACAGTAAGGCGAGGCCAATCCCGAGATCTGCAAATTAAACATTTCTAAAGTCCTGGTCGGTGCCCAAGGCTGTGCTCGCCGTTGATAAACCCGAGGTGCTGCCTTCATCCATCAATCCCTGAGTCACTGTTTTGGGAAATAATGTATGGCCTCTCCTGTGTGCCTTTCTGTGTGCGCCCTCCCCCGTGTGTGTGGGGGGGTGCAGATCCGAGTATCGGAGGAGGATGTGGAGAAGGAGAGGGGAGCGGTGCTGGAGGAGTGGCGGGAGAGGAGAAACGCCATGGGGCGCATGCAGGACGCACACTGGCAGCTGCTCATGCACGGCAGCAAGGTGAGGGCAGGGCCATCTGCGGCGTAAGGTTTTGGGTTCTGGCTTGAGGGGTTCTGGCTTGAGGTTACTGGGCCAGGGCAGGGGTTAGGGTTCATGGGTAGGGGTGGGAGAGGAGGAACGCCATGGGGCGCATCCATGCAGGACGTGCACTGGCAACTGCTCATGCGAGGCAGCAAGGTGATGGCAGAGCTGGACAGGGTTGGGGTTTAGGGTCATTGGTTTGGGCTTAATGTTTATGGGTATGGGCTTAATGTTTATGGGTATGGGCTTAATGTTTATGGGTATGGGCTTAATGTTTATGGGTATGGGCTTAATGTTTATGGGTATGGGCTTAATGTTTATGGGTATGGGCTTAATGTTTATGGGTATGGGCTTAATGTTTATGGGTATGGGAGGTAGAGGAGGAACGGCCTGGGGCGCATGCAGGGCAGGACGCACACTGGCAGCTGCTCATGCAAGGCAGCAAGGTGAGGGCCGTTCATAAGGTAGGGTTTGGGGTTTCTGGTTTGGAGTTACGTCGATCCCGGTTTTGGGGGTTAGAGCTTCTGGTTTCGGATGCACACCCTCAGCTAGGGCAGCATACGAGTTCTATCGGTTGGGGTTTAAGGTTCTGGTTCGAGGTTTATGCACAACTTGGCCGCTTGGCGTGTTTTGTACACTCCTGATGCAGATTTATTCGCTTCTCGTTCGCCTGCCCTTCCCTCCCAGCCCCACCCGCAAGCTTGAACCTTTTCTGAATCCCCCTCTCCCGAATGCACCTCTATAAACAAGCATCTTTGAATGCACCTCCGCCGATTGCACCTAAACTTTATGCACTTCGTTCAATCTACCTCCTTCAATCCACCTCCTCTGAATGCACCTCCCACAGTACGCGGAGCGCCTGCCCATCGGGCTGGAATCAGTGATTCGCGGCGTGCCAGCAGCCGCTGTGAAGCGCTTCTACCACACGTGGTACCACCCCGCTAACATGGCCGTGGTTGCTGTGGGGGACTTTCCTGACGCTCAGGTGTGCTGTTAAGGCATGGGGTATGGGGCATGTGGGGCATGTGGGGCATGTGGGGCCTGTGACTTTCGCGATGCTCAGGTCTGTGTGTCAACATGACATGTGGGGCATGCCGCATGTGGCATATGTGGGGCATGGGGCAAACGTGGGGTGTGGGGCTAGTTCTTCCACCACACGTAATACCACCCGGCTGTTGTGAGTCAATAGCACATGGGGCATGTGGCTAGCACTCAAGGGCCAATGCGCTTCGCTTTCACCACACTGTGGAACCACCCCGCTATCGTGGCTGTCTGTCATACTGTGGTGGATTTCCCACGTGTGGTAGAAGCAACCACCCCGCTATCGTGGCTGGCTGTAGTTGCTGTGGGGGACTTCCCTGACGCTCAGGTGGGTTGTGTTGTGGCATGGGTCGTGTGGGGGGCGTAGGGCTAGTGCCTAGTGCCAGCAGGTGCGGTGAAGCGCTTCAACTAGACGTGGTACCACCTTTTTAACATGGCCGTGGTCGCGGTGGGGGGCTTTTCCAATGCTCAGATGGGTTAAGATGGCATGTGGGGCATGGGGCTAGCAGGACTGACTGGGCTCACTTTCACCACACGTGGTACCACCGGGGACTTTTCCTATCACTATCCCTCCCTTCTTCCCCACTCCCCATACCCCTTCTGCCCCTCCTCTCCCTTTCATTCCCCCTTCTTCCCCATCCATTCCCCCGTCACTCCCCTTTTTCTCCCTCTTCCTTGCCCCCCCCCCACACCAACCAGGCGGTGGTGGCGCTCATAGCAGAGCACTTTGCCGCCAAGCTGCCGCTCTGCCCCTCGGCGCTCTCAGCAGTGCCCGAGGAGCCTTTTCATCCGCACTCGCAACCGCGCTTCTCTGTCTTCGTCGAACGTGAGGCTGGCGGGGTGAGTTGAGGTTCGAGTAGCGTGCACAGTGTGCAATGCAGTGTGGGTGGGTTTGGATGCTGGTGGGTATGAAGAGGTAGTGATCGGGCCTGCCTGGTGCCCCTGCCCCAGCAGCCCTTCCACCCGCACCCCCCACCGCGCTTCTCCGTGTTTGTTGGATGGGAGACTGGTGGGGTGAGTCTGGGAGGGCCACGCGCGAGTATGGATGGAGGTGCCAGGGTTGGTGTGTGGTGTGGAGTGGGGAACTGCAGGAAGGAAGAGTGGTGCGTGTGCGATGTGCGCCCGCAAGTGTGTGTGTGTGTGAGGGGGGGGGGAGTGTGGGTGTGTGTGTGTGTGAGTGTGTGTGTGTGTGTGTGTGTGCGCGCGCACGCACGTGCGCACATGCGCGCGTGTCAGTAGGCCCGCCCTCTGGTACAAGAGCAGCCCGTCCACCTGCACTCCCTCCCGCACTTCTCTGTATTCCTTGAGCCAGAGGCTGGCGGGGTGAGCCTGGGATGGGAGTAGCAATGGGAGGTGGGAGGTGCCTGTCAGGGTGTGAGTTTGTGGGGAAGAGCGGAGTGGGCACCGCGAGTGGGCACCGAAGGGTGCTTCTGGGGCGAGGCACAGGGGCGAAGGGCTCAGGGCGTTGGGTAAAGGGGCAGGGATTTGAGATGGTGGGGGGTGTGATGGTGGAATGGGAAGTTGTTGGAGATGGTCGAGGCTGGGCAAGGCAAGCACGGCATAACGGGGCAGGAAGGCACACTCTGGTGCTGCTGCTGCCCCTCCTTAGTGCTTCCCTGTATTAACTGCACTTGGTGACATTCTCTTGAAACACCAAGATCAGCTTTCCTGCTCTTGAAGCCGCTATCCCCATCCTCTCCCTGCCCAGTCAGCTACTCCCGCCGCTCACCTCACTTCTCCCCTATCCTTGCATCACCCTCTGCTTGTCGCCCCCCAAGGCGCCCATCCACGCCATGGGGACGCCCTGGGACTACAGGCACTACCTGATGGGGGAGCTACTCTCACCACTCGCCTCTCATCTTGCCCCTCTTCTGTCTCTTCCCTGATTTCCTGTTCCTCCCACCGTCCCCCTTCCCAGTCAGCAGTGATGGTGACATGCAAGGCGCCCGTGCACGCCATGGTGACGCCAATGGACTACAGGCACTACCTGGTGGAGGAGCTATTTCCACCGCTCACCACCTAACCCCACTCCTCCTCTACTCCTCCATTACCCTCTCCTCTCCAATCCGTCACCTCCCCCCCCTTCCCAGTCAGCAGTGATGGTGACATGCAAGGCGCCAGTGCAAGCCATGGTGACCCCCATGGACTATAGGCAGTATCTGGTGGAGGAGCTATTCCAGGCCGCCCTCTCGCACCGCCTCTTCCTGCTCTCCCGCCGCCCCAACCCGCCCTTTTACGCCGCTGCCGCCACGGTGGAGGCGCTCGTGAAGTCCACGCGCTCGTTCTCCCTCAGCGCCAGCTGCCAGGACAAGGGCACGCTCAAGGCACTGGAGGCTCTGTGGATGGAGGTGCGTGGGGGGTGTGTGGTTGCTCGCTTGTTGGTTGGGAGTTCCTTCCTCCTCGCTGGTCACTGCGAGGGCCCCTGGTCCAGGATTTAAGCTGACGCTCATTCTGAGCCCAGCTGGAGGTGACGAGGAGTCGTCAGGAGGTGACGCAGCCCCAGAGTTCCTTCCTTGTTCTCACCTCCTGAAGACGCCTCGTCTGCTCCCTCTCTGTTCGCTCTTTTCCCTCCTCCACTTCTCCCAAGGTCGCGCGAGTGCAAGTGCACGGCATCTCCGATCGCGAGTTGGCGATGGCGCGCGTGCAGTGCCTGGCGGACGTGGAGTCGGCCTACGTGGAGAGCAAAGGGAGCAGACTTTCCCTATCCCTCCATCTCCCCCACTCCCTTCCTCCCTTCCTCCCATCCCCCACCCCCAGGTCGCGCGGGTGCAAGTGCACGGCATATCAGACAGGGAGCTGGCGATGGCGCGCGTGCAGTGTCTGGCGGACGTGGAGTCGGCATACGTGGAGAGGGAGCAGACGTACAGCGAGGCTCTCCGGGAGGAGTACCTGGCGCACTTCCTCAAGGACGAGCCCTCGCCCGGCATTGAGTACGAAGCCAGACTCGCCAAGGCGCTGCTGCCAGGTATGTTGTGGGCGTGTGGGTGGGCTTGAATCAGACGTACAGCGAGGCGCTGAGAGAGGAGTACCTGGCGCACTTCCTGAAAGACGAGCCCTCGCCCGGCACTGAGTACGAGGCACGACTCGCCAAGGCACTGCTGCCAGGTGCGCTTGGGGCTGCTGGCAGGTATGGTGCGGTTGTGTGGGGGTTAACCAGGTGTGCTGGCAGCAGCACTGGCGTCACACACATCCCCCAGCAGCAGTTGCGAAGACCGTGGACGCTCCCTCTCAGCTTCTCCTCTCCTCCACCCCTTCGTCTCTCCTTTCCTCCTCCTTCTGCCCCTCGCTTCGCTGTCACCCCCCCCTTCCTTACCTTTTTGTCCCCAGGCATCACAGCAGCGAGGGTGAATGCGGTGGCATCAGAGATATCTCCCTGCAACAGCTGCGTGGTCACGATTGGGAGGCCAAGGTTCAGGCCGCCCTCTCTTTACTCCAACCCGCTTCCCTTTGGTCTCCCCCTCCCGCCCCCCTCACTCCCCAGGCATCACAGCAGCAGAGGTGGCAGCGGTGGCGTCAGAAATCTCCCCCAGCAGCAGCTGCGTGGTGAAGATCGTGGAGGCCAAGGCGCAGGCCACCCTCTCTTTACTCCAACCCGCTTTCCTCTGGTCTCCCCCTCCCGCCCCCCTCACTCCCCAGGCATCACAGCAGCAGAAGTGGCAGCGGTGGCGTCGGAAATCTCACCCAGCAGCAGCTGCGTGGTGAAGATCGTGGAGGCCAAGGCGCAGGCCACCGTGGAGGCGATTCAAGGCGTCATCGCCCGCGTGATGCGCGCTAAAGACGCCACTGTGGCTGCCATGCAGGCTGACGCGGCGAAGAGGGTAGCCCTGGAGGCTGAGGAGGCTGGGAGAGTTGCTCTGGAGGCTGCTGATGCTGCTGCCAGGGAGAAGGATGGGGAGGAGTCGGCAGGCGTGGTGGAGAGTGGTGGGGAGGAAGGGGAGAAGGAGGGAGGAGGTGAAGAGGGGAAGGGTGTAGGGATAGGAGAGGGAGGAGGAGAGGAGAATGGCGGTTTGGAGGGTGGGGGTGGGAGTGAAGGGGGAGGAAAAGGGGCAGAAGCAACAGCAACAACAGCAGCAGTAGGAACAGCAACAGCAGCATCTGAGGGTGCAGCAGCGGGGACTGCAGCAGCAGCTGCAGCGGGGGATGAAGCAGCAGCAGCAGCAGCGGGGGGGGGTGAGGGTGAAGAGGCGGTGGAGCTGATAAAGCCGTGGACGCTGGACGACATTCCCGAGAGCATCGTGCAGACACCGCCTGTACCAGGGTGAGTGGCGGGCCGTGGCGGGGTGGGTGACAGGCAGTGGCGGGGTGGGTGGGTGGCCGGCAGTGGCAGGTAGGGTGATTGAGAATGAGTGGTGCAATGATGATTGAGCAGAGAGCCGTTCAACGCCAGGGTGACGCGCCCTGGTTTTTCACCAAGACGTTACTTAGGGCTAGCGATCATGGCATGCGGCGGTGGTTGGTTGGAGCATGCACGCAGCATGGAGATGAAGCGAGATAGAGGCCATGTGCGCCGAAATGATTGTCTCTCTGGGCCGTGCCTCCCCTGCTTCCACTCCCTGCTCCTCTTTGCCTTCCCTTCCTTCCCTTCCTTCCCTATTGTCTCCTGCAGGGAGGTGGAGGAGCAGAGGGAGTATCCGGGTGTGGGAGTGACGGAGCTGCGGTTATCCAACGGCATGCGCGTGGCGGTCAAATGCACCGACTTCCTTGACGACCAGGTGAGGGGGACCACCGTTTACAGTGGTTGACTGGCGTGTTAGAAACACCAACTGCCACCGTCGACCGTTGACTGTCAACCGTTGCAAGGTGAAGCATCCACCATTCATTGGTGATGACTCGATGCATGTGGAGAAGGCTCTGTACTGTGTGCAATGCTTCAACCTGGGGTGTGTTCACGAGTTGCGGAATTTGGACCCGGTGTCAGCCTCTGATGACACAAAGTGGGGCGCATGCGGCCTCGTGTCATGTGCTGAGGTCGCCGACTGTGCTGTGCCGTGCCGTGCCGTGCCGTGCCGTGCCGTGCCGTGCCGTGCCGTGCCGTGCGTCGCATGGTGCCGTGCGTCGCATGGTGCCGTGCGTCGCATGGTGCCGTGCCTCGCATGGTGCCGTGCCTCGCATGGTGCCGTGCCTCGCATGATGCCGTGCCTCGCATGGTGCCATGCCATAGCCTGTGGCTCCAGTGGTCATTGCTGCTGCTGTTGCTGCTGTGCGCCCTCTGCCTGCTGCTGGTTGCTGCTTGTGTGGGTCTGGGGGAGTGGTGGGTAGAATGGAGGCTGAGAGGCGGATGAGGTGGAGGGAAGAAGTGCTGAGGAGAATGAAGGGCGGGAGGAGCGAAAGGAAGGTTGAGAGGAGGGGAGGAAGCGAGAGGAGAGACGTGAGGCAGAGGAAGGAGACGGTTACAGACTGGCGTGGGTTGGTGAGAGGGCGATGAAGGAGGATATGTAGGGCGTGCGGAAGGAAAAAGGCTATGGGGAGGAGATGGGCCCATGCCCGGTGCTCCGCGTTGAGATGGGGCCGCCTTTGATCCGCAAGCTGAGGCGCCGCTGTTGCCACTCTAACTGCTCTAGCCGCTTTAACCATGGTAGACACTCCAGCCGGCTCACCTGCACACCTCCCCTCCCCTCTTGCTGTGTGGGGCTGGTGGGGGCAGAGGCGGGCTCAGCACGAGAAAGAAGAGGACGAGGAGGGGCGAGGGGAGGGGCAACAGGAAATGCAAGCGGAGGGGCAGGGGATGGAGGGAGAGAGAGAAGGCGTGGAGGAGGGAGGGGTGCGAGCAGGGGAGGGCGGGCCGTGTGTGTGCTTGTGCAAGGAGTGCTTGCACTGGCGGCGAGACTGCATGTGCGTGGAGCCATTGGGCCTCCCTTCCCTTGGGCCCGAGCAGGAGCAGCTGCAGCAGCAGCAGCGGGGTGTGTCCCCCTGGCAGGTGCAGGTGGTGCATTGCCTGCAGCAGCTGCGGTGTGTGGGCTGTGAGGCAGGCGGGGGAGGGAGTGGGATCAGATGGGATGCATTGGAAGCAAAGACAGAGGGGCCAGGGGCGAGGAGGGAGGGGCGGAAGGGTGGAGGAGGAAGGGAGGAGAGAGGAGACGGAGGAGTGCTGTGCGGTGATGAGGTGTGCGCTGTGGAGTGCAGTCTGTGGGGCTTAGAGGCAGCACTGCAGAGGGCAGAGAGGGAGAGCAGCGAGTGTAGAGCAGAGAGAGAGAGTCAGTCGTTGCTCCGTGCTTCGGCCAATCAGCTACTCCTGCTGGCGGCCGGGAGTGAGCTGGAAAGGCTGTTGCTGGCGTGGCTTGATCGGCCAATGCTGCCTGAAGTTGGTACCTTGTCAGTGCCAGTGTCTGTGATCAGGCTGCTGACTCAGATCGTGCTGTTGCTGATGAGGCAAGGAAGGGCTGGTGCTACTGGTGCTGCTGCTGCTTCTTCTGGTGCTGGTGGTATAAATGTGCAGGGTTGCAGAAGCACAGATGCGTGCACATGTGAGAGCAGATGTTTATGTGTGGGATCGTGGATCAAGCATGGAAGAGGGTTGGGACGCATGGCAGCATCCGCACCGGAGGCATCTGGGAGCCATCCTCCCTCCGCTATAGCTGCTTTCGCCTCCCTTGAGAAGTCCGCTGCTGCAAGAGCATCATGTGTAGCGACTGCATCTGTTGCAGCAAGTGCCAGTGCACACGCCGTGGCATTCTTCCTTGCCTGCCTTTCCTCCATCCCTCCCCCACCTGCAACCACCGATGCCACGGCTGCCACCACCACGCCACCTGCTGCCGACTCTGTCCTTCGCCCTCTCCCCTGGTGCATCACGGAGCAGTTACTGCACTCCGCTACAGTCACACTCAACACACTCAACCCTCGCAAGCCTCCCACCCCTGAGTCTCATGCCGCCAGCCAGCTCCTCCTCTCTCCCCTCCTCTCGCGCGCTGCCCTCGCCCCCCTCACCCTGTCCCGCCACCCCTCCCACCGCGTGCGCCTGCGCCTTTGTGACCTCTCCCTCGCCCTCGCCCGCCTGCTGGCAGAGGCCGGATTGCGGGAGAGGTGGCGGGTGGGGAGGAAAGGAGAGAGGGTGGTAGAAGGGAAAGGGGGAGTTGAAGTGAAGGGGAAGGAAGGGGCAGTAGGAGGGGTTGGAGGAGCTAGAGGGAAAGGAGGAGAGGACAGGAGCAGGGAAGCAGAATTTCTGCCTTTGCCCCGCCCCTCCACCTCCCTTGTCTCTGCATACGCCCGCCTCCTCTCATCCGCCCTCTATTCCGCAGCCAATGACAGCGTGCCATCTGTCCGCGCTGCAGCTCTGGGGGCCTTGGGGGAGGTACCCTGGCTGGTGGTGGCGGGGGAATGGGGAGGAGGAGCGGGGGAGGAAAGAAGGGGAGAGGACAGGGCGGAGGAGATTCAGGGGCAGCTGGGTGGAGAGGCGATGCGAGGGCCATGTGGAACGGGGGAGGCGGATCGGAGCAGGGCTGTGGCGGACGGGAGCGATGAGAGCCGTGAGGGTGATGAGGGCGGTGTGCTGCTGATAGTGGTGGCAGGCATGGTGCAGCGTGCATGTGAGGCCATGGAGGACGACTGTGAGCACGTGCGCCTGCACGCCGTGCGCCTGGTGGGACACGTGGTGGCGTGGGTGCGGCGGGAGGGAGTGGCGTTGCTGCTGCGGGGGGAGGCAAGGGGAAGGGAGAGAGGGGGTGAAGGTGTTGGTAAGCAATTGGAACGAGGCACACGTGTCCCTGGGACTGCCCACCAGCACGAGCAGCAGCAGCAGCAGCAGGCAGTGACATGGCAAGCAGTGTCAGACATCACATTCCTCTCCCTCTCAGCGCGCGCCACCGACCCCTCCCCCACCGTCCGATGCGCTGCACTCCGAACCGCAGCTGCCCTCGTCTCTGCCTCACCGCCTCTCCTCCCTGCCCCTGCTGCCTCCTCTTCCCCCTCGCCGCCTCCCCTCCCAGCGGCCGCACCGCTCCTCCTCCCCGCCCCCTGCGAGGCAGCTCTCCTGCAGGCCTTCTCCAAGAAGCTCAAGCACCCGCCACCCGCTTCCCTCTGCCCGCTGCCCCTGCTCCTCACTCCCTCCCGCCAAAGCCACTCGGAACCACAGCTGGGTGGAAGGAGAGCGAAGCGCAAGAAGCAGCAAGAAGAACGGCAGCAACAGCAGCAGAAGGCAGTGGGACAGGGAGGGCAAGGAGAGAACAGTGAGTGCAAGTGGCTACGGTGCCTGAGGGAGGCAGCAGCAGGGGCGGTGGTGGTGGGCATGGAGGATGACTATCCTGCTGTGAGAGCTGCCGCTGTTGCTGCTGCAGCTGCCATCGCCACACCCCATACGCTCCATACTGCTGCTCCATGCTCCAACTCGTCAACCCCTTCTATCCCATCCGCCCTACTCCCCTCCTCCTCGCCCTCCCTGCGGGTTGCACTTGAGGCGTGCTCGCATCTGATTGGCGGATGCAGTGATGACGTGGCGGCGATTCGAGCGCTCGCTCTTCGATCTCTCTCCCGGCTGCTGCTCCTGTGGGGGGACCCTCTCTTCCGCTTCCTCTCCTCCTCACCCATCCCTCTCGTTGCTGCAACTGCTGCTCCAAGCACCGGTGGCAGCAACGATGCTGCAGCTACTGCTGGCATCACTAGGCAGGAGCCTCTTCTTGTGCCCTCAGACGCCCCCAAGCTCGCACCTGCCCCAGTCACCACCTCACCCACCATTGCTCCATCCGCCACGACCTCTCTCCTGAATGTAGTCGCCACTTTTTCCGGGCGGCGCCTCTCAGCTGTACTCGCCTCGCTACAGGACAAGTCGCTGGCTGTGCGGGCAGCGGGGCGGTGTCTGCTTGCGGTCCTGCGGCCGGCACACTCAGTCGGAGTGAGAGCGTGTGTGCATGCACTGCTGGGGAATATGGAGAGGGCAGTGAGGGCAGGGGGGGAGGAAGAGGAGGAAGAGGGGAGTGAGGGAGAGGAGGGAGTGGAAGGAGAGATGGGATGGGTGGATGGTGGCGGTGCTTGGGGTGGTGTTGGTGGTGTTGGTGTGGGTGGTAGGGGCGAATGGGCAGCAATGGGAGGGCTGGGACGAGGACGGAAGAGGGGGAGAGAGAGGGATGGGAGGGGGAGAGTGGTGGGAAAGGAGGGGAGGGAGATACAGGAGGTGCTCGACACACTGGCCGCGATTGGCGCTGCTTGCAGCTGCCACGTGGCAAGCATGTGCGCTGAGCTGGCAGCTGACGTGGCAGCTCTGAAGGCCTGCAGAGGGGCAAGAGCAGCCACAGCCAGCGGTTGCGTGCCCACTGCCCGCCCGCCCCTCCCCTCTCCTCTCTACCCCGTTCCTTCTGGGGGGAGAGAAGCGACGAGAGGAGGAAAGAGAGCGAGGGGGAGGGGGAGGGGGAGGGGGAGGGGGAGGGGGGAGGAGCAGCGGGTGGAGCAGGGGTATGTGGCTGGGTTGTGTGCGGTTCTGGGGGCAGCAGGCAAGGCGCTGCCGTTTCTGTCAGCGCTGCTGCCACCTGGCCTGCTGCAGCACGCACAGCTGTACTCACAGGGCGTGCTGCTGGGCTAGAGTGCAGTGCCGTGCCTCTTTCAGGGACTCAATGCTCGGCTCTGGCACTCCACTTGAGTGCCTGCCCCATGGCAATGGGAATGGTGCAGATCCTCATACCCGGGTAGGCATTCGGGGGTCTCTCGAGCTTGTGCTTCCCCGACTGCCACACTGAAACCATGGCATGGCGCACAGCAACCATCGCATCGCATGCTCTCTCAACTCAACCCTTGTGTGCATCTGCCCCCCCCTCCCCCCACCACTACACATACAGGGGTCTGTCCGAGGTGTCTCAAGCCGAATATTACACGGCAGCCATGGCATGGCGCAGAGCATCCGATTCTCTAACAACCCTCCAACGTCTCTGCTTCTCCACCGCAGATCCTGATATCCGGCTACGCGTACGGGGGTCTCTCGGAGGTGTCGGAAGCGGACTACTACACGGCGGCCATGGCGCAGAGCATGCCTTCTCACCCTTCCCATGTGCCCACCCACCCGCCCCTCTGCACCTCTCTACAGATCCTCATATCAGGCTATGCGTACGGGGGTCTCTCGGAGGTGTCTGAAGCGGACTACTACACGGCGGCCATGGCGCAGAGCATCGCGGGGGAGGCGGGCATATTCGGCCACCCGCCAGCTGTCATGGCGGAGCTGCTGGCCGGCAAGCGCGTGGAGGTGGGCGGCAAGCTGTCGTCCTACATGCGCGTGTTCTCAGGGGAGTGCTCGCCGGACGACCTCGAGACGGCTCTGCAGGTGAGCTGCCTGCCGCACCCTTGTTGGGCTTTAAGGTGGCTTGTGAGTCGACTGGGAGTCTAGGGTGCAAGCTGTCGTCCTACATGCGCGTGTTCTCAGGGGAGTGCTCGCCGGACGACCTCGAGACGGCTCTGCAGGTGCCGTGGGGTGCTGCTGGTGGTGGTGGTGGTGGTGGTGGGGAGTGATGGGATGTGCGAGTGAGGGGATGTTGGGAGTGATGGGATGTGGGGAGTGAGGGGATGTGGGGAGTGAGGGCATGCGTGTGTAGGAAGTAGTTATGAGAAGCACCACACCCGATGCCTCCGCATCGCACCCTTTGACTTACCGCCCCTCCTCTCGCCCCTTCTGCAGCTGGTGTATCAGCTGTTCACGTGCAGCGTACGGGCGGAGGCGAAGGACATAGCGCTGATCAAGCAGATGACACGCGAGGCCGTGCGCGGGCAGCAGCGCGACCCCTTCACTGCCTTCGCCAACCGCGTGAGGGAGATCAGCTACGGCCGCAGCTACCAGTTCAAGGTGCTGTGAGGGGTGTGGGGGGCGGGGCGTGGGGGTTGGGAAGCGCGAGGGAGGAGCGAGGTGGAGTTGAGGGGTGGCGGCGAGGGAGATGAGCTACGGGCGCAGGTACGAATTCAAGGTTAGACGTGCAGCGTTGGTGCGGATTGAGGGGTGGGATGGAGGGGTGAGGGTCAGGAGGATATGGTAGCAGCTACAACAAGTTCAAGGTGTTGTGTGGGTACAGGATGAGTGGAATGGGGATTAGGGTGGTACTGGCAGGGAGGGGAGGGGGAAGGTGGGCCTCGCACCTTCGTGCATCCCTCCCATCCTCTTGCATTCTTCCCGCCCTTCCCGATCTCTCCCTTACAGCCAATCACGGAGTCGGATTTAAAGCGGGTGGACTACAGCAGGGCGTGCGAGTACTTCGAGAGGGCGTTCAAGGACCCCTCGCCCTTCACTGCTGTCATCGTCGGCAGCACCCCCCTGCGCTCCTCCTTTCCCCATGCATGTCTCCCTCCCATCCCCGTGCATGTCTCCCTCCCACCCCCGTGCATCCCCACCCACCGTCCCCCTCCCCCTGCAGCCAATAACAGAGTCGGATCTGAAGCGCGTGGACTACAGCAGGGCGTGTGAGTACTTTGAGCGGGCGTTCAAGGACCCCTCACCCTTCACTGCCGTTATCGTCGGCAGCACTCGCCTGGAGCAGGCGCTGCCGCTCATCAAGCAGTACCTGGTGAGGGCACGGTTGATAGGTGCAGGCAGTGGCTGGTGAGGTGGCAATGAAAGCCACACAGGCGCAGGGTGGGCAGAAATGAATTGTGTGAGTCGATGTGTGTGGGCAGAAAGAGGTGGGTGCTGCAGCAATTGCAGCACTTATATCACCACTCACAATCACACTCTCTCGCCCACTCGTGCACGCACTTACTCACCCATTCAGTCAGTCACCTCAACCAACGAGCCAAGTTCCCCACTTCTCTTCCTTTTCCACCACGCCACCCACCAGTCTGACATGCATGCCACCCACCGGTCTGACATGCATGCCACCCACCGGTCTGACATGCATGCCACCCACCAGTCTGACATGCATGCCACCCACCGGTCTGACATGCACGCCACCCACCGGTCTGACATGCACGCCACCTCCTCCCCCTTTTCCGCATCCCCCATCCCCCACACCAGGGCGGCATCCCAGTGCCTCCCCCATCAGCCGCCATGCCGCTCTACGAGCGCGACTCGCTCACGGCGCTGCCCTTCAAGTTCCCCGACTCCCTCATCCGGTGCGCCCTGCTCTGCTCTGCTCTGCTCTGCTCTGCTCTGCTCTGGGGTCGTTGACATCTGGGAGCGCCTGGGTCCTGCCAGCTTTCCCCTTGTGCGCGCCTGGGTCCTGCCAGCTTTCCCCTTGTGCGCGCCTGGGTCCTGCCAGCTTTCCCCTTGTGCGCGCCTGGGTCCTGCCAGCTTTCCCCTTGTGCGCGTCTCTCTGTTGATGTGCTTTGCTCGTGTCGATGCTCTGTCCTGCCCTGTTTCTGAATAGCCCACTTACTACTCCCTCTGCCCTCTCCTCCCTCGGCCCTCTCCGCCCTCTGCCCTCTCCGCCCTCTGCCCTCTCTGCCCTCTGCCCTCTCCGCCGTGTGCTGTGTGGTGCGTGGTGGGGAAGCACAGGGAGGAGGTGAGGAGGGTGATGGTGGAGGCGCAGGGCTACACGCAGATCACCTTCCCCCTCACCATCCCTGCCAGCCCCAAAGTCGTGAGTGTCCCTGATTAGTAAGTCGATTTTTGAGTCGACTCAAAAACCACCTTCCCTCTCAACATCCCTGCCAGCCCCAAAGTCCTGAGTGCCGCTCCATGCGTGCTTGAGGCGTCTCAACGTGTTCACCTACCCTCTCCACGTGTAGGCACACATGGAGGGACTCAGAGTCATGAGTGCGCCTTGCATAGAAAGTCTCTGATTCGGAATGCTCATTCTCATGTGTAGACGCGCAACATGACTGTGTCGTGTCTGACTCTCATTCAATTTGTCGTGTTGTGTGACTCTATGACACGTGACTGCATGGCATGTAATTGCATGTATACCATGTGACTGCGTGCTATGTGACTGTGTGCCATGTGACTGCGTGCCATGCCATGCACCATGCGCCATGCACATGAGCACGGTCAGGTGGAGGAGACGATGTGGGTGGGCTTCCTCACGAAGCTGCTGGAGACGCGCATCATGCAGCTGCTGCGCTTCAAGCATGGCCAGGTCTCTCACCTCACCACGCCTCTCTCATCTCACTGCACTCTCTGCCCCTGCCACCTCGCCTCTCACCTCCCACTCGCCTCTCACCCCCACTCGCCTCTCACCCCCACTCGCCTCTCACCTCCCACTCGCCTCTCACCTCCCACTCGCCTCTCACCTCCCACTCGCCTCTCACCCCCACTCGCCTCTCACCCCCACTCGCCTCGCAGTCGCTCTCTTTTGAGGCATTGACTGCCTGCCTCCCTTCCTTCGCCTGCTCCACCCCATTTCCTGCCCCTCTCACCCGCTCCACCACGCCTTCCACGCCTCTCTCCATTCCCACTCTCACCCTTTCCCCTCCCAAATCCCTGCCATTTCCTTCTACCCGCCTCCGCCCTGTCCGTTCACCTGCCTCCCCTGCCACCTGTTCCCTATGCCACCAACCCCCTTCACCCCCCCCTCACCTTCCTCGGCAGATCTACACGGTGGCGGCGTCGTCCTTCCTGGGGGGGGCGCGGCCATCACGAGGCGGCGGGGTGAGGGGGGACCTGGCAGTCGCCTTCTCCTGCGACCCCACCACCGCTTGGTCCCTTGTGCGCTCCCTCCTCTGCTTTGCTCTGCTCTGCTCTGCTCTGCTCTGCTCTGCTCTGCTTCAGTCGCTTTTGCTCTGACTTTCGTTTGGGTTTTAGGAGATTCTGTTTCTCTACGCGTCTCTGTGTCGATATTCTCTCACTCTACTGCATTCTCCGTTCCACGCCTCTCTGCCGCCACCGCCCTTCATGTTTCCTCGCTGCTTCCACTCTGCTTCGTCCCTTCTTCTTCGCTGCATCCACTCACCTTGCCACGCCAGTGAGTCATCAAGGCTCTCTGCATCCGTTCATCTTGCACCCACCCCGGCAGGTGGACCTGAGTGTGGCGGAGATAGAGCGAGTGCAGAGGGAGGGGCCGGAGGAGTCAGACGTGAAGACGGCACGGGAGTTGGAGCAGCGCGCGCACGAGATGGGGCTGCAGGAGAACTCCTTCTGGCTCGACCGCGTCGTCAGGGCATATCAGACCCGCCTGTATGACGGCAACGTGGATGAATCGTTTCAGGTGAGCTCCCGCTGCTGTCTGTTGTTGGAGAGAGTTCTGGACAATGCACACTGTGCAGACTCGGGTGTGTGTTGGTGGCATGATGCGCCGTTTCAGGTGGGCTCTCATCTCATGGCCTGGCACACTAGGTAAGGAGCTGCTCTTCTCTGCGAGCTTGTCCTGTGCGGGGTGCAGTACACATGCACCAGCTCTTTCATTCTCCTCCTCACCCCACTTCCCCCAACCATCCACCCCCTTTGCCGCCGCACCAGGCACTGGAAGACATTCGCCTGCGTCTCATCAGCCAGCTCAGCGCTGACTCAGTCCGTGCCATGCTGACTCAGCTACTCCCAGTGCCGTGCTCCAAGCAGTACACAGCTGTCAGCCTCGTGCCCACGCAGCCCCTGTGGCGCCGCCTGCTGTCGCTGCCGCCCAAGCAGAACCCGGGCCTCACTTCAGAATCCAAAGTGAGCTTCTATTTCAGAACCGCACCTTCTCTCATGCCTCGTGTTCTCATCTTCTTTCTGGCCGCATCTCGTCTCCTTGTGTGCTCTCTTGTGGTGATCGCATGCGAAATTCCCTTCGCACCGTATCCTCTTCATCCCCGCTTTCTTCTTCCCCACTGCTTTGCAGGCGCTGCTTGTGGTGTTGGCTGCTGCTGCGATTGGAGTGGCACTGTGGCGGTGCCGACTAAGGCACTAGGCGCCGCTGATAGCGACGCTTGTTGTACGAATGCATTGCAGTTTTGCAAGGTCCTTTCGAGCTGTATTACTGTGTATAATCCCATGTTTCTCTTTCCATTTAGTGCATTGACTGGTAGCTTGAAATCATGGCAGGTTGGGAAGTGGGGGAAAGGAATGACGGGTTGATGCAGCTTCACTGGCACATCTTCAAGCAGAGGTGGCAGAGTGTCACCTCGTATTGTCGCCACAAGGAGCAAAACACTCCCTGCACGGTACTACCAGCGATGGCCTGATGATATATGCTCTTTGTGGCTAAATCTACAAATGCATATGCTACCCAGTTTTATATTACCTTCTACTAAACCATATTACCACCTCAACAAAACTGTATGAATAGCCTCAATGTTTCCTTTCGTTTTGTGTTGTGTAGACATGTTTTATATAAGAAAATGCAATAGGGGTTTGGCTGAGATCCTGCAAAACAGCCTTGGCTGACACAAAGGGGTGCTTCTGCAAGAATATCCTGCTTGTGCCCAGATTTTGTTGCCCTCAACCAGCCTTGGCCCAGGTGCAGACGGAGGACCTCTGACAGTTTGGGCAAGTCGAAACGACGGGTAGTGTAGAGGGCGAAAACATTTTAACGAAGATTGTTTCCGTTTCTCCCCATACCTCGTCATCTGTAGTACCAGAATTTGCCTTCGGGTTTTGCGGCTACCGTGGTGTATGTGCTGCCAATGAAGTCCAATGCAGTGTAATGTTGTCGAACTATTAAATTTCTGACCTTGTAAAAGTACAGTTCTACGCCGTGCAGCACATGTACAGAAGTCGGGAAACACCAAACTGTGCCCCACGATTTTGGCAACATACGATTCTATTGGCAGGAACCCAACAATACAGTAGATTCTCGAATCCCCCAATCCAAGGCCTGCTCAAGCCATCCATTTGTTACCTCCAGCTCTGCCTCATCCCTTCCTTCCCTACAGCTCCATCCATTTGAAACCATTGATAGAGTCGAGTAGGGTCGTCTCATTGCTCCTAACTATTTAGCATCATCTTCTTCCCAAGTCGCCTCGCTAGTTTTCGCTCTACTGAAGCCGTGGCTAAGGCATGGATGTTGACGGCGACTCCGAGTGGGAATGGGACAAGATGTGGAGGAAGCAGCGAGAAGAGGAACGGCGGAAACAACGGGCAGCCGAACGGGCAAGCATCAATTGGAGAAGGCACAGCGCGGGTGGCGTAGCCGGAGATTTTTCGGACGAGTGGAAAACGTTAGTATCGCAGGAGGAACAAGAAGGAGCAGCAGTGGAGGAGGATGCGTCGTGCCACCAGTTTCCGCTACTGAAGAGTAAAAGCGAGCGCATCGATAGCACGAGCAACGCTAACCGACCGGCCGTCTCTGGAAAAGGTCTCGCGAAGAGCATGAGCGAGCGGATGGATCCGCCGTCGTCGGGCGGCGAGAGCGAGGAGTTCCATTTTCACAACCTCAGACGCGCGCAGCGCAGCGCGTCCATGAGTGCCGGCTTGTTCGCCAATGGCTCGCCCATGACAGGCTCATCCATGGCCGGCCTGTCGGGCGGCGCGTCGTACTTCCCCGCGTCCTGGTCCACCGGCACCTTCAAAGGCCCCCCTGCCGCCACGCTCCCCGCCACGTCATCCTTGGGGACCGAGCCGCCGAAATCGGAAACGCATCCATCGTTTGCCCCCTGGCGAAGGCGGAGCGAGAGCGTGGGGTCCATGGACGTGGGGCCGACGACCCCAAGCTCTATCTTCCTGCCTCGCAGCACCAGCGATTGTTTCGACGTCGCGAACGCGTCGCAGTTGGGTAGATCGGGAATGTCGCCCGTCGCAGCAGCCGTCGCAGCAGTGGACGGCTACGGACCGATCAATCAGCGGTACGGGTCGAATGTCGCCGACGTACCTCGCACCCGCGACGGCAGCGGCAGGCGATTAGCCTCGGCGGAGTTACCGCAGCGTCCCGTGAGCGCATCCGCGGAATTTTCAGGGTCAGCATCGAGATTGTCGCGGGGTTCGCCACCTCAAGTCCAGCGGCCAGTCTCCCCGCCGTCTTTCACTCCCCCCATTCCCGTCGCCGACCCCATCTCACCCGATACAGAAGAACCCGATATCAGCTTTCAGGCTCCGTACGCCGACGCGGCACCTGCCGTGGTTGACGCTGTTGGCGTGCAACGGCTATCGCTGCAGGTGAACCGGCTAGAGGTCCACACGGACGCCAGCCGAGATGGCAGTCCACGTGGCAGCTACTGCGGAAGCCCGGCTAGCAGCTGCGGCGCCAGTCCACGTGCCGGCTGGTCAGGCAGTCCGCGTGGCAGCTTCTTCGGCAGTCCACGTGGCGACAGCCACGGCGGCACGCAGCTGAACAGCGGGCAGAGCAGCCGGGAAACCAGCCCCAAGGACCTTCAGGAGATTAACTCCTTCGAGACAAACCATTTTCCTGCGGGGAGATTAAGCAGCCGCGCGGGAAGCCACGCGAGCAGCGCGGCGCACAGCGTGTCGGGGAGTCTCGCGAGCAGCCCGAGGGGCGTCAGCTGCGGCTACAGTGCCCCCTGGGACATGCCGGCCGCCGGCGATATCATCCGCTCCCCCGTCGCGCCGGCCACGGCACAGGCGGCGCGCAGCAGCAGGCAGCCGACCATTCAGGAGCTGCTAGACGCGCTTAAAGCCATCAGCCCGGACGCCGCGCTCGAAAGCGCCGCCGCCGCTGTCGCCGCCGCGACTGCTGCGGCCGTCGCGTCGATGCCGCCCGGCGTGTCGATCCCCCTCCCAGCCCTTTCCCCGTCCTCGTTATTAGCCCCTATCGCGGTCCCAAGAGCGGGGGACGGCGAGGGGTTGGCTCGCAGGCTGAGCGGCGGGTTGGACGGCGCGAGCCGGCCGGGGTCGCCGCTAGCGCCTGTGCCGGAGGTGCCGCACGATGACCCCGCGGTGGGTTGTAGCGGCGAGGGCGCGGACGACGGCGACAGCCCCTTGGGATCGCCGGTTTTAGGGTTAGGCGGGCGCGCGTTTTCGGAGAACGGGAGGGGGACGGGCGGCGGGAGGGCGGAAGAGCTGCGGAAGAGCCGCAGCGTGAGCGGCGGGGAGCGCGGTGGGGCGGACGCTGTGAGCTTCCACGCGGCGCCTCCGCTGGTGCACGCGCGTGCCGCGGAGGCCGGACCCGCAGTGCCCGCGCCGCAGCAGCATCGCGCGGGCGAGCCACAGGCGCCGTGTTCCGCGCTGAGCAGCGCGTTCAGCAGCCGCAGCACGTCCGCGGACGGCGGGTCCGAGGAGAACGACCCGCTGGGGGACCTTCCAGGCAGCTTCGTGAGCCGCCTGGGCGTCGGCAGTGCTGCAAGCGGACACTTTGGCGGGCAGGGAGCGCGGGGAGCGGGAACAGGGGCGGGCGCAGGGGCGAGCGGGGGGCCGGGGGGCTCTCCGCGGTCCGCGCGCGCGTTTTTTCCCCCGTCGTTCTCGCTGAGCCACTACCTTCAAGACGACGACGACGGGGAACCGCTGGAGGAGGAGGAGGGGGAGGAGGGGGAGGGGGAAGGGGAGGGGGAGGGGGAGGATGGGGAAATGGGTGTAGGGAAAGAGCGGGAAGCAGGGGGGAATGGGGAGGTGGGGATGAGTGGGGAAGGTGACGAGGATGGAGAGAGGGAGGGAAAGGAATCAGAGGAGGCTCAGGAGGCGGAAAACGGAAGTGGGGGCGGAGGGGCGAGGAGGGACGGAGATAGCTCCGGTGCGGCGGGCGAGGGGCCGCGGGACGGACGAGGGGGAAGAGGCGGGGGTGTAGGAGCGGATAAGCAGAGCAGCAGCGGGAGCCATCGGGAGCATAGGGCAGATATTGGGGCGTTATCCCATGGGCGCGTTATGGTGAACAGCGACAGTATCGGCAGCAGTGGCAGCAGCAGCAGCAGCGGCAGTAACAGCAGCAATAGCATCCCCGTGCTGAGTCCTTCGAGTAGCATGGACGTGGGCGGCGACGGGCAGGCGGACACGCTGTGGGCGGATTACGGGGAGGACAGGCGCAGGGCCGCTCATGCCACTGCTGCTGCTGCCGCTGCTGCTGTCGCTGCTGTTCCTACTAGTGACGCTGACGCCGCTGGTGCGGCTGGTGCTGGCGGGCTAGTGGGGGGCGGAGAGCGCGCAGCAGAGGGGGAAGGAGGGGGCGTTGAGGAGGCAAAGGGCGCGGGCGCGGAGGGCGCGAGCGCAAGGGGTCCGCACGTGTGGAAGGCGGGGCCTGGGCTAGGGGAGCGGCGGAGGAGCTTTGACGTGCGCGCGCTGCTGAAACCGGAGGAGGGGGAGGCGGAACAGAGGCGCGCGGGCGGGAGGAGCGGGCGTGGGGAGAGTTGGGCGGAAGTGGACTGGCTGGGGCTGGAGTTTGGCGCGTGCAGGGGGGAAGACCTGGGCGGATTCACGTGGGAGGAAGCGGAGGCAGTGTGGGTGGTGGAGAGGGCAGGGGGGGAGAAGACGGGGGGAGGGGGGAGTGGCGGGGAACGGGCAAAGGGGGAAGGGGGGATTGTGGGGGAGCAGACGAAAGGGGAGAAGGGGAGCGATGGGAGGCAGGAGAAGGAGAGAGATGGGGCTGGTGACTTGGGGAGGGAAGGAGGGGAAGCAGCGAAGGTGGGGTTGGTTGGCAGTAGAGTGGAGGTTGGGGAGGCAAGGGGGAGGGGATCTGGGCATAAGGGGAGTGGGGCAGGAGAGAGCCGCGGGGAGAGAGGGGATATTACACGAAAAGGTACGGCCAGGTGCGAGGGTGTGCAAAGCGGTGGCAGTGTAGAGAAGGAGAAGGAAGAGAAGGAGAAGGAGAAAAAGGAGGAGGAGAAGGAGAAGGAGGTGGTGGTGGGGGCGAGGGGCAGGCGGGCGCGCGCGCTGTTCCCCACGTGTGTGTCACTCAGCCACTACCTGAGCGACCCCTCCCACTCTGACGATGAGCCGCTGGAGGATGTGGCCGAGGATGGGGGGGCGGATGGAGGGGAGGATGGAGGGGCGGATGGGGGGGCGGAGGCGCAGCAGGGGGAGGAAGAGGGGAACAAAGGGAGAGTGGGCGAGTTGAGGGATAGTGGGCGAGTGGGGAGTGCAAGTGGAGGGGCGGATGGGTCGGGGTTGAGCCAGGGGGTGGGTGTGCTGCCTGCTCGTGCCCCTGGCCCTGCCAGCCTCCGTTTCTCGCCATCCAAGCCGCCCCGCCCATCCCCATCTCCTCCCTCCCATGCCGCCCCGCCTCCCCCCCTCGCTCCTCCTCCCACCACGCCCTCTCCGCCTGCCGCTGCGCTTCCATCACCGCCCCCCCCGCCTCCACCGTCCTCGCCACCCCCGCCTGCTGCGGTTGCTGCACCCGAGTGGGCCTCTTCCGGGGATTGTGTGGCCCACATGGACGCGTTTCTCAGGTGCGCCTCTCACTCACATGCACACTCACATGCACACACACATGCACATGCACATGCACTCTTTGGGAAACATAACATCCTTCTTGTCACGTACACACTTCTTACTCTGCTGCTGTCGTGTAATGTTGCGCCAAGTCTCCCCCTTATAGCGTCCCCGCTCTTATCTATCCCTCGTGCCAATAGCTTATTCCATATCCTTCCTTCTCCTCCTCCCCTGTCCTGCCCCTTTCACCGGTTTGTCACCACATCAGAAACTTCTTGGATCTTTCAGCCACACCTTTCCTCTCACTCGCACTTCCTGCTGCCACCATCGTGAGCTGTAACGACGCCACGTGTCGCACACTGGGATGGCCACGTCAGCAGCTGCTCTCTCGCAAGCTGGCCTCTCTGCTCGTTCAGAAACAACCACAGCAGCAGGGGCAAGCCCGTGAGGACGAGCAACGGCAGGAGGAGGGTGGGGAGCAGGAAGCGGATATGGGACACAGGGATAGGCCGATGGGGGTGCGGCAGCAGGAGAACTCTTCCTTGAATTTCTGGTTGGCTGCTATCACGCGCACTGGGGTTGGGGAGGGTCCCCTTACACTCACTCTCACCAGGCCCAACGGGATGGCTGCTGTGCGCGCCACTCTCTTTGCTGCCACCCTGCACCCCTGCTCTCCGCCCTCCCACCCCTCTCAACCATTCCACTCTGCGGGAGCAGGCGGCAATGGTGGTGGCGGTGCAGCAGCAGCAGCAGCAGCAGCAGCAGCAGCAGCAGCAGCAGCAGCAGCAGCAGCAGCAGCAGCAGCAGCAGCAGCAGCAGCAGCAGCAGCAGCAGCAGCAGCAGCAGCAGCAGCAGCAGCAGCAGCAGCAGCAGCAGCAGCAGCAGCAGCAGCAGCAGCAGCAGCAGCAGCAGCAGCAGCAGCAGGGGAGACCACAGTGGCCATCATGCTGCAGGTGCTGCCGTGAACCCTCTCCTCTCTGCCATGCGTGCAGACAAGTCTGCAGATTCAGATGACTGCACCTCGCAGGAATGCACAGCTCACAGCTCACAGACCAGCGCGAGGCTTAGCGAGAGAGCAAGCCATGCCAGGGATCGGTACTGCTGTACAGGAAGGGCCGCGAGGGAGCTGGTGCTGCTATGTATCTGGCGCATGGGTCGATGTTTTTGAAATGTTAGCCTTGCGTGGGCTGTAGTCTGGTGTTATTGAATACAATATGCATGATGCTGCAGGGTTAAATTGAATCACTATGGCTGTAGGAAAATCCTTTTTGTATTTATGTGGTCATGGGGCAACTGGTCTTGTCCTCAACCAGCAATCACACTGGGTCAGTACTGATTTTTGTTCACTGACTGTTTGGCCATCAGGTAGAGTCAGAGGTACCTACCGTATGTCTCATGGCAAATTGTTGATCATGGCCCATACCAGGCATTAGGAGATTGAGTACAGTACTAGAAAATTGGAGCTCAGAAGCGAGCTCCAAACATGTGCATTTCAAACAGCATACCTCCGACCCATGTAGCGCGGCTTTTCACGTCTGAGTCAAACCGATCCGGCTTTTGATGCTGATCGAGATGTTTCTGCTGTCTTTGATCGCAATACCAGTCTTTGACTCTTTGACTCATCACGCCCATTCATCTTCACAACCGGTCGTGTTCGACTCTGCTACGTTCAGGAATGTTATTGTAACATCCAAGGCACAGATGTGCTGAAATTAGTGACCAGTATAATGATTATGGTTTATCCTTGGTTTCCTGAAATCTTTCACACAGTGTCCATGAATGTATATATTATGCAGCAAACTCGGTGTAGTGCCCCACAAATTGTGATTGACACCTGGTTCGAGCGTCGGTACACAGCTGGAAGCTCGAATGATCCACACTTCGCGGTCCGCAGTCCTCGCGAGGGGAGACCTGTTGAAGCCGTTGATGATCCACCTGTTCCTAGTTGTGGCGAGTGGCTGTGGGTCTGTGCGAGCAACCAGGAGGCGCCTCGGTTGATTCTAGCCCTCATGACATGTTAGCTGGAACGAACATCGACGAAACAAACGAGCTCCTCATCTTCTGCTGGCGCGAATCTGCGTGCATCAGAAGCAACGTTACCCTGCATCTTGGATTCACGATTTTCCCTTATCGAATGGGCTCAGCGAAGCGCATGCGTCACGATGGAACACACTGTGTTCCACACCTATGGCGGTGATCCCTGTCCCCCCCACTAGTGATGTGGCAACGACAGGTCACAGAACAAACAAATTAGGCGCAACAGCAGCCGCTGCCTCGTCGACTATAAAGAAAGAAGGATACCACATTACCTGTATCAGCGCCGTCTACCACCAAAAGGCCATCCTAAAAATCATTGTAGATACCGAGAAAGCTAGTGGCTTAGAAGGTTCGCGACATTGTGTGAGCATATTGCAAAGACTTAGACATTTCAACATGAGTGGGAGCACGAGAGCATCGAAACGCAGTATGCTGCTGGCCGTTCTGATCGGTGCAGTCCTTTTAGTCGCTGATGCGCACTTCCAGTCCACGCTTATGGTACGCGTTCAGTGTTAGAGCTCGCCGTGCATTCACGCTCTGAAGGACTCGTCGATAGCTTGCCAGTGCCTCCACTTGTCCTTCGTATGAACCCCTCGTCCTGTTTAGAATATTTCGCAACTTCTTTCATCCGTGTCGCTTTTTTCTTACTCTTCAGGCGGACGACACACCGCGGAGGCGGCTCGCGAAGTACCAGACGGACATGGCGGAAGCAGAGGCGGTGCTCATGCAGCCCGTGCCGCAGCCTGCGCGCAGCGACGCGTCTTCTGGCGGACCCGCGCCTGTCGAAAGGTACGCCGCGAGCAACGGTCTTGGGCTACGCGCCTCTTTGCGCCCGCGCCCTCTCACCCTCAAGCCATCCCAGACGTCACGTCCATGTCCCATCCTCCGACTCTCGCTCCGGCCGCAGATGTCTCCCACACTTGCCACTCCGCGCTCGTCACGAGCGTTGATGGAAGGACACTCCTCAGTACCCATTGTCAGGCTTACGCTAGGATATCGCAAGCACCCACTCGTTTCTCGTCCTTGATTGGATGCCTCATAATTTTCTCAACCCAGAACATTTCTCCGTTCTCGTTTCCCCCCGTCGTTCAAACAACAGGCTGTACGAGGCAGGTCTAGGATCCTGCGGCATTCCCGACATCGACGACCCCGAGAAATGCGTAGCGGACCTCGCGGCGTTCCCCGCGCTGAACCGCAACAGCGCCAAGGTGCGCCAGCTCGCGTGCCTGGCGCACAACTACTTGCGCCCGTGGATGGGCATTCCGGGAATCGCAGAAGGCATGGGCGCGCGCGGAATGATCAGCCCGAAGCTTCTAGGGCAGATGGCGACAATGTCGAGTGTCCTATCATGCTCGGGGCACGTGCGAATCGTCAAAGGAGAGATATTTTTCCGCTTCGGTGGATTCGAATTCGACTGGTACAGGATGCGCCGCTTCGTCTTCTCCATCCGAATGATTGAGGAGGCTATTATCGAGTACAACCTGTACAACCTGAACGCCGAGTTCTTCATCAGCACCTGCGACCTCCCCACCAGCCGAGTCAGCTCCGTAGCAAAGCACCGCGCGGGTCTTCCGATATTCTCCCCCCACGGCGCTCCCGGCAGCGTAGACATTCTTTACCCCGATCCCGTGGATCTGAGCAAGAGTTATTTCAGGGATATCGAGGATACGGTGCCGTGGGAGCAGAAGCAGGGCCGCGCCGTGTTCCGCGGCGGCATGACCAACTTCTTCGTGCAGTACGACACGCAGTGGCGCTCCAGCCCGCGCTTCCGCGTGCACCGCATGTCGGAGGTTCGGCCTGACCTGGTGGACGCCAAGGTCGTCGGCAACGTCGACCCCAAGTTCCTCGACCGGTGAGCCGCGCCGCCTTTCCAAACTTGTCCAGCTTGTGCACAACGCTTCGTCCACTTCCACTACCATCGCGCGTTCCCTCTATTCACATCGTCTGCGTCTATTCACTGGAAAATCTCACCTGCTGGACGCTTGTTTTCTTTTTTTTTGTCTCAGGATGCGCGACGACAAGGTGGAGCTGGGCGAGCGCATGGGCCCGGCACAGATTCAGGAGTTCAAGTACGAGCTGGACGTGGACGGCGGCACTGGCAGCGGGCGCGTGTGCGGCATTCTGTCGAGCAACCAGATGCTCATCAAGCAGGCCAGCGAGTACACGCAATTCTTCGACCCGCTGCTCTGCCCGCACCGCCACTTCGTCCCCACGCACCGCTATTTCTCCAACCTTTTCTCGCAAATCGAATGGGCGAGGTCGAACGATCACAAAGCGAGACGTATCATTCGCCAGGCGAATAACATCGCTGGTGACGCCTGCACGTGGGAAGGCCGGCGGCTGTACTGGGCAATCCTCTTAGCTAAGTACTCCGTAAGCGCGTTGGAGAGCGCTGCGAATGTGACGAAGCCGAATGTATTTCAGTGCAACGTGCCTCCGACGCAAGTCGACGTGGAGAACTCGTCCAAGTACTCCAAGCCGAAACCCGCCAAGTGGATTCCGCGATGCAAGGTCCCCGAGGAGTTGCCAAACCAGCCGCCATGCACGCACTTCTGCGCGGGACCGCTAGACGAGCCTCAGAAATGGAAATGGCTGCCGTCGAGTCTCCTGCATGGCATCGAGGTGTTCAAACCCGACAACGGCAGAATCAAGTTTCGCCCGTCGTGAGAAGGAGGAACTTTTCCCCCGGCCTTTCCGCCGCATGGTGCGGGTTGATCAATCTCGTGGGACATGCTGGAGGTGCGGTACCAAATCCATTCTGCCCGTGGGGGTGATGGAACAATAAAGTGCTACCGCCAGCGAATAAACAGATTAGGGTTATGAATAATACACCGCATTATTTTATTAGAATAGACAGCATGATCGCAACTGTCAATATAAAAAAAAAAACTTCATTATGTGCCGAATTCATACAGGGAAGAACAAGTGTATTGTTAACACAATACCTTTACTGTCTGATATATTACAAATGAATATGATAAGCGCTTCCTGAAAAAAAACAGCTACCATAGCAATGTATTTTTTGACATTTTATGCTTATGCTGTCGATCAATTGAAGTACAACATCTACACTAATTGTCCTTCGTGCACATTTACGTATCAGATACATTTATACAGCTTCAGGTCGTAGTGGGTAACATCTTGTCCTTTCAGGGCCCTTCTGGTTGTTTTAGATCCAAAGATATGGAGAGGGAGGACGAAGTGATGACGGCGGATCATGTGGGAGGTCGGGAGATAACTTGGGATGTGGGAGGACGGGAGGTCACTTCGGATGTGGGAGGACGGGAGATCACTTGGGATGGGATGGGAGGCCGGGAGATCACTTGGGATGGGGGAGGCCGGGAGATCACTCGGGATGTGAGAGGCCGGGAGATCACTTGGTTGGGATGTGGGAGGTCGGGAGATCACTTGGGATGTGGGGGACGGGAGATCACTTCGGATGTGAGACGACGGGAGATCACTTGGGATGTGACACAACAGGATGGAGGACGGGAAAATACTTGGGTTGGACGATTGAAACGAGGTTAGCGAGGGAGGGTGATGGGAGCACGGGAGGGACGAGGCTTGATAGGGCTAGGGGGAGGGAGGGGAGTGAGGGAGGGTGAGGCTGAGAAAGGAAATCAAAGAGTAGAGAACGACTCGGAGGGAGGAAGGGAACCAGGAGCATGAGCGGATCAATAACGACTCGTATGTCTCAGGCAGTCCAGGAAAAAACAACAGTGGAGACGATAACGAAGAACAGGAAGTCAACGAGAGGACAGTCTGAACGAGGAGAGGAGAACACCGACGGCGGAGAAGGGCGACTAAACAACGGCATTGTCTGTAGGATGGAACTATCAACTGTGCGAACAGAGGAGAGGAACTAGGAGGGAGTAGGGAACGGGGAGAGCTGTCGGAGCCTGGGGAATGGGCAGCAGGAGAGCCTGGGAATGGGCAGCAGGTAGTCGAAAACTGCTGCCCTAATGATCACCAAAGGTTCCAAAACGATCTGTTCATTTCAAACCGTCGTGGTCCGCCATGGAGCACGCTACTGAGGATAGGATCTGGCAGCAATCCGTCTAACAGCATCGGTTAGGAGTTTCGACCACCCAACTTCCCAGAGCTACTTTGACATCACGAGCACTTACTTGTAAAAAAACGGATTCGGAATAAAGAGATGGTTTCTGTAGCATGTGTGTACACAAGATGAGGACGAAACTGCTATGCTATAGAAAGCTGTGATCTCGTTACGACGATCAAGATTCAAAAGCGAGCTATGTTCGGTATATACTATACTGACGGTCCAACGAGCTCCCACCTCATAAGAAAAAGCGATTACTTTTAGAAGAATCACTTCTCCGTGATGGCCTCAGGCTTTGGCGGAGCATTCTGCACAGAAATAGCGAAACGAGAAGGAAAGTAAGGATCCAGATGGTATTTGACGACATCCCATGGATCCCAAAGTGGAAACCGAAGAGGTGCAAAACAGATTTGTAACCACCCGAATCGCACAACAGAAAAACAAACGCACCACTACGTAATCTTGGTGGAGCTTTCGTGCAAGCTGCCACATGGCGGTTGCGGAGAGGAAAGCGTTGACGCTGAAGAGATTCCAGTTGACGGGGACAATGTCGACACTGTACTTCATGAAGATGAGGCCGGTCACCGCGGCTGCCGATTGTTGCGGGTATGAAACCTTTTCTGTAATTTATGTGGGAGAACGACACGACATTCCAGTCGTGTGAGAAAACAAGAAATTCTTACGCAAAGTGGATGTCCCAACCTGACAACGATACGGCCACATGGTTAGGAGAAACTAGCGTGGACAATGCAACCCAGTGGAGTGCCATAACGAATCCCAACCTGGAGGCCGATTGTAGTCAGCGATGTTGGCTAGTCCAAGGCTCCACTTAAAAGTAGGAGCCCAGAAGAAGACAGTCTTAGGGCCAGCGGGGTGGTTGTAGAAGTCCCTGGCCCATTGAAAGGCTCTTGAAGAGCTCATGGTTTCAGATACCGACTACAAGCACCCAAACCTACGCGATCCTTCCTAACTCCACCAAAGACGGGAAACTGCAAGGTTATGGAGATTGGGGATAGGGAGGGAGACAGGATGCATTGGGAGTAGTATGCTGGACTGGTTACCAGCAGGTAAGGAGGACATTTTGAACGAAACGTTTGCAGGCTACGCGACGAGTGTAAAGCATATGGTTACAAGTTCCAAACTACTCGTGGACGCCAACAAGGCTGCCGCGGTGGAATCGGGGCCCGCTAATTCAGGGACAATCTCCACCTAATGCAAAGATTTTTGTCGCATGGTCTGTATCGACCTCTCTGATTCGCTGAATGAAATGCCCTGCCGAGATCCAGGCAGCGTGATGAGCTGGCATCTTGCAGATTCGACATAGGACAACTGCTTTTTCCCCGTTACATCACATGTATCAACTGTTGTTTCTGTATACATTCTTTCTCTCATCTTGTACCTAATGATAGCAAGAGTCACTGAATCATTCGAATATAGTTTTCTGAAAATAAATGCATAAAATTTTTTGAATGCGTCTGGAAAGGCGCTCAAGATTAAAGTATGTGCAAAAGGAGTAATGTTTAGGAGTTTGTGATGGTATATCAGAGTAAAGACCAAAAGAGCTGTACTCAGCTTCCCCCACACCACCCCACCAACCCTTGGTTCTGTTCGGGAATGCCTGCATCTCCCCCATGCGGGCCTCATCGAAGCTCATGGTTGTTCGTTTCGCCAACAAGGCGCAGCATCCTCAAGGTGCTGAGCTCCCGATCTATGAGGGCAGATTCAAGGCTCCCGTCGAGACCTCAGGTCGTATCCCTGGCTAGTGTCAAGAGCGGTTAGTGTCATGACACTATCTCGGAAAACGCATGGAGGACTAGTCCTCCTGGTGTCAGCTAAACCGACCAATCTGATCGCGTGAAATTGCCCAATGTGCCCAACATTGACACCAGGCTGGAGCCGCGTGCGGGCGCGGCTCCACCTGGTGTCAAGCGAATTTCCGCTTGACACCAACAGTATCTTGACACTAGCCAGGGATACGACCTCAGGTGGTCCATTCGACACGGAGTCGGAGACAAATGACTCGAAGTTGGCTCACCAACGGGGAAAATATGGTGAAACGATGACCCGAAGTGGAGGTTTCGCGGCTGCCCTAGATGCCTGACATGCGCCCTAAGCTTCGGATATGCTGGGGCTTGTATCAATCAAAGACTTATGTACCGATTTGAAGAGTTTTTTCACCCCAAAAGTGAGAGTGGTGAAAGGAATCACTTTTAGGACCGTGCCAGCTTTCAAGTTACTGTAGTGTTTACTCCAGGGACCCGTGCGACCGAATCTCGCCATGACCCACACAGCAGTCTCGTTCCACCCATCAAGAGTTTCCGTGTCCCGGAGTTATTCTACGTATCTTGTTGATCGGAACTGAGAGTTGCAGGTCTGTTATCCGTTTCTCCCGATTCTGCCGAGGCTTTTATGCGCCTAGTCTCCGCTCTCTTCCGCCTCCAGTCACTACAGAAGTAAATATTAGAAGGTCGCTCGATTAATCTGCAGTAACATTAGGTCTCACTTGACTGTCACGTGTTAGAAGGTGAAGAATGGCGACGATGGAGGTGGCGGGGTGGGAGGACAAGGACGCGTTGTTAGACAGCGCGTGGATGGACGCCGCCACCAAGGACGACGAACCCGAAGACGACGGACCCAGCGCTGACGACTTCCGTCGCTCTCGGACGTTTACGTCGTCCATACTTTCCCGAATCACCGCGTCAACACCTGGGAGAGGCGAGTCGAGCAGAGCGACTCCGCGCGGAGCCAGCGACGGTAAGGCGGCGTCTAGCGGCGGCAGCTCCAAGGACGGCCCGAAGCCGCCCAAATGGCTCAACTTCCGGGGCTCCGCGAGCAAGGGGGCTTCCGACGACAGCAGCAAGGCGGCGGCCACTCCAAGTGCGAATCGGACCGCACCCTCGAGATCTTCGGACGCCAATTGGTCCGACAAGCAGTTGTCGCCTCCGGCAGACACGTCTGCAGCTGACGAGCCGTCAATGGACGATCTTCGTCGATCCGTTACCGTGTCCGCCGTTGATAGAAGCTCGTTGCGCCGGCAGCACAAGGAGATGGGCACCCTCCGCGCGACTGCCGAGGTTGCGAACAAGAAGGCGGGCGCGCATGGCGGCAGGAGCAGCGCCTCCACCGGCGTCGGTAGCGGATTGGATGCACAGGGTGCTCAACCCAACCCGGGAAACGCGGGCGGGCTTGCACGGACGCGATCCGGCGGAAGCGCGACATCGGTGGTGTCGCGACCTCCCGCCCCCGCGTCGGCCGCTAAAGTCGCCTTCTTCTCGTTCAATAAACACCGCGAGGCCGTCGCGGGCGCGGAACAAGCGGAGCAGCTGACGCTTTCCGCGGATGAGCAGAGGGCGCGCGGACAAACGGGAGAAGCCGTCGTGCGGAGAGGCTATGGGCGGCGGGCGCAGAGCATTGGCGGAATGGCTGGGGAGCTGCGCGGAAGAGGAGGCATTCCGGATGGCGGGAGGGCCGCATTGGGAGGCCCGGTTCGGGCCAGCTTGGGAAGGTGAGTGAGAAACTTCCGGACGTGGGACGGTACGCAAGAAAGCTAAAGATCGAATCTTATAGGTCATGATACGGGTTGTGGATAGCGGGCTCAGGATGGTTGGAAGTTAAGGCGTGCAGAGAATGGCAGCGCGTGTTCGAGGCCACTGCTGTGCCGCGCGGATAAGCCTGGGTTGTACGCAGTTACCATACCTGTAGCCGTCCGCGTTTCTAGGAGCCTCTTGTTCCAGCCAATTCTGTTGTTGAAGGCGGAGCAGAGCTCCGGGCAATCTGTAGACCGCATCGCGGTGACTTTTGAGTCAACTCAGAGTCACCTCATTCCATGGAGCACCCTCTCTTTAACGGTGTAGGGTTGAGTGGTTTGAAGGATGGTTCGGTGTGAACCCCATCGTTTCTGCCGTGGTGAGCATGGGTTGAGTGTTGTCATCAGTCATCATCGGGCCCCTGTGGTGCTGCACCTGGCGCTGCTTTATCCACTCTCCCTCGCCTCTGCCCTCCTCCGAATTCTCCCTCCCGTCCCACTCCCCCCCGCCTCCCCTTCCCCCAGGAGTCGCAGTGTGGGCAACGCTCAGAGCGACGCGGGCAGCCATGGTCTCTCGCCGTTGCACCCGTCCGCCTCGCGCCTCTCCGCCGACCCCGACCGCCCCGCCTCCCCCCAGCTCATGCGCCGCCCCCGCGGCCACTCCGCCTCGATGCTGCCCCCCACAATGCGCACCTCCACGCCTCCCCGCGCGCCCGACCCAGGCGAGCGCCCCGGCTCGTCCCTGTCCGAACGAGGGAGTGGGCCTACTGGCAGGCGTAAGGGTGGCGTGTCTCGGAGAAAGGAAGGGGGGGGATCAGTAGGAGGCTCGGAAAGAACCGGGTCGCCCCTTTCACGAGGAGCTTATAGCTGGTACGCAGCTGACGATGCGCCAGGGGGTGTTGCAAGCGCGGGGCTCGTGGGTGGTACGGGGGAAGGCGAATACGAGCAGTACCAGCAGCGGGGGAGCAGAGGGCGCGGGATGGGCGCAGGCGGAGGGGCGCAAGGGGGAAGGCACGGGCGGCAGAAATCAAGCAGCAGCAGTGGAGGGGGTGAGGGGGAGGGCGTGCGAGGGGGGATGGGCGGAGGTGGGCGCGTAGAGGGGGGAGCGAGTGCGGGGAGGATGGGGAGGGGAAGCGTGGCAGTGAGGGGAGTTGCGGGTGGGGGGGTGGCTGCGAGTGGCGGGAGAGGAGGGGCGGGCGGGCATGTGCACGGGTATGGCAGAGGAGGGGCGGCGATTGAAGGGGGGGAGGATGAGGGGTATGGGGAGGGAGGGGTGTGGGAGGAGGAATTTGATAGTGGGAAGGGGGTGGGGGGGCTGGTGGGTGCTGAGGAGCAGCAGCAGCAGCAGTGGCAGCAGCAGCAGCAGTGGCAGGGGCAGGGGCAGGGGCAGGGGCAGCAGCAGTGGCAGGGGCAGCACATGCAGGCGCAGCAAGGGCATGCGGATGGGTATTCAAGCGGATACGTGGATGAAGAGAGGTACTTGAGCGAGCAAGGGGAGGAGGAGCAGCAGGAGCAGGAGGGAGGCGACGATTGGTATGAGGGAGGGAGAGGGGGGGATCCTGGGGCGTACGAGGGGCAAGGGGCGTGCGGTGAGGGCGTGTACGAGGAGGGCGCGTATGGCGGCGACCAGGGCTATGATGAGCAGGTTGGGGGGACGCAGGGTTATGGCAGGCAGGCAGGGTATGAAGCAGGGTACGGCGAGGCAGGGTACAGTGAGGCAGGGCGTGCCGGGCAGGGGTATGGGCGGCACACACAGCGGAGCGGAGGGCACAATGAGTATGGCGAGGCAGGGTATGGGGAGCAGGGGCATGTGGCGCAGGGGTATCATGAGACAGAGTATAACGAGCAGGGGTATAACGAGGAAGTGTATAATGATCAGGCATATACCGAGCATGGATATAAGGAGCAGCGATATAGCGAGCATGGATATAAAGAGCAGGGATATAACGAGCAGGGGTATAATGAGCAGGGGTATAACGAGCAGGGATATAATGAGCAGGGATATAACGAGCAGGGATATAACGAGCAAGGGTATGTAGAAGAAGGATTTGGAAAGCAAGGGTACGAGCAGGGATATGGGGAGCAGGGATATAGGGAGCAGGGGCAGGAGGGGCAGGGATACGAGGAGGAAGGGTACTATGAGGAGCAAGGCAGTGGTGGGGGCGGGGGGTACAGCGAAGGGCGAGGTGGGCAGTACCCAGTGCAGGTGCAAGCTGGGCGGCAGCAGTACCAGCAGCAGCGGCAGCAGGCTCCACAGCAGCAAGAGTATTCCGTGCAGCAGCAAGGGTATTCCCAGCAGCACCAGCAGGCGCAGCAGCAGGGTGCTGGGAGGTCGTCAAGAAAGGGGTCAGTGGGAGCAGCAGGTGCAGTGGGGGCAGGGGGGGGAGCAGAGATGGGCGGCGGGGGCACGGCAGGCGCCTCTGCGGCCAGAGGCAGGGCCTCCAAGCACCAGCCCCCGCAGTCGCATCAGCAGCTGGCAAATCGGCGCCCGCCAAGTGGAGGGGCGAAGGGTGCTGGTGTGTCTCGCAGTCGAGGAGGTGCAGGAGGTGGGGGAGGGTACTGAGGGGTGGGGAGAGGTGGAGGAAGAGCAGGTGCAAAGGGTAGGGGAGGGGTGTGGGGTGCAGACAAGTAGGGAGCCATAGGGGTGTGAAAGAAATGGCGGTGCAAGGGGGAGAGTGGGGAGAGATGATAGACGGAGAGTGGCTTTCCTTGTGTCGTTGCTGTGAGCATTAGGGGCACCGCTCCTACCGTACTCTCTTTCTGTTGCGGGAGAGGAGTGAAGAACGATATAACTGCTGCTCCATGACAGCACAGCACTGTGAGAAGGTTGTTGATGCGTTTCAAAGGCAAAGTCAGGAAGTGTGTCTGAGTCTGGTGCGAGGCGGCAGGCAGTGGTGGCAGCTTGCATGTCTGTAGCTGACATGGCATGGCATGATGGCATCTGGGAGTGCCACAGGCACACAGCCACTCAACACAACTCCCTGCTGCTGTGTGCCCAATATGGGTTGCCCTGCCCTGTGGTGGGCATGGCTGCAGGTTAGGGGTTCAATTGGGTGCTTGTATGTACTATGTGTGTGTGTCTGCACTGCATGCCTCTCTGCCAACCGCATGCTCTGAAAATGCTACAATCTGTACAACTATCTTACATGATGAATATATATTTAAGCTGGTACAAGATTATTTGACCGGAGGCACACTACACTCTTACACACATAATCCACCGAATCTAGCTCCCACAACCCCGCCCCCTTCATCCCCACCACCGCCTCCTCTGCCGTTAACCCCTTCCCTCCTGCCACCATCCACGCCCCCTGCTGCACCCCCTGTGACTCAAACGAGGAGTTCACCTCCGAGGGCGCCATGTAGCACGGCAGCCCCACCCTCCATACAGTCACACCCACACGAAGCTTCCTCGTTGCTTCCTCCAGTGCAGCCCACCGGGCGGCACTGCTGCCTTGGTCCAGCCATGCTGCTCGCAGCGCCTCCCATGACCTTGATTCCTCCTGCCCACTGCTCTCGCCTGCGCTGAATCCACTGTCACTGCTGTTGGTGGGGGTGTCCCAGAGCAGGTGGGCGAGCAGGGAGTGCAGGGCTGAGTGGGCAGCGGGGGAGGGCGGCAGCAGGAAGACGTCTGACAGAGGCGAGTCGCCCACCCCCACAGCCACACCCGCCCGCTGCCACGCCTGTCCCTCTGTCTCTTGCTGCTGGCCCGTGGCCTGCTCTTCGCCCGTCGCCCCCTGCTCATGCGGGCTAGACCCACCCCACTGCCACTGCCCCTGCTGCTCCCCCTGCTGCCCATGGCTGTGGGGCGGGTGCAGCAGGCGGGGCGCGAGGCAGAGGAAGGGGTCGCCGCGCCACGTGACGGCGGGGGAGGCCAGCAGCACCGGCACGCGCAGACGGGCTGACAGCAGCACGGCCGTGCGGACGTGTGCAGGGGATGGGATGATGGGGGCCGGAGGGGGAGAGGGGGGGTCGGAGGAAGACGGGGAGGGCGAGGAGGGGAGGAGAGAGACGAGGTGGCCGCGCGTGGCGAGGTGCAGGGCGAGGGCGGGGCAGGAGGTGAGCACGGCATAGTGGGAGAGGCCCAGCCCGTCCATGTGGCACGCCCAGTTGCGCGCCAGCTGCTGCCATGCGGGCGGGGCGGGGGTGTCTGTGGCGCGCAGCAGGGCGGACGCCCAGGAGTGTGCGTGGGCATGGTGGTGGTGGTGGTGGTGGTGGGATGCAGCGGACGGCTGGTGGTCGGGCAGGAGGAGCAGTGTGAAGGAGGTCACCTGTGGTGCAGGGGGGTGGGGTGTGGTTATGGGACGCACAAGGACGCAATCAACAGTCAGTGTTGGGTGAGAGGAGCGGAAAAAAGAAGATGAATCAAACCCAGCACGCTCCGCCCATGAATGTAGCATTGACTGCGTCTCTCACTCACCCCTCTCGCACTCTGCACCGCTCGCAACAGCTCCTCATCGCGCGTCACCATGGATGCATACGTGGCATCCGCCACTCCCGCTGCACCTGCTGACTCAGCATCGCCTCCTTCTGACGCATCATCAACTCCTGCACCACCCTCCTCTGCTCCCCCTAAAGCCGCGTCGTCATCACCGGCTGCCTCCGCCTCCCTTCCCCCCCCACCGCGCTGCCCTTCACCCCCGTGCTCTCCAGCGCCCTGCCTCCCCCCCTGCTCCCCTCTGCTCCCCCCCTGCCACGCCCACGCGGTACCCCCTCGCCCCACCCAGGGCAGCGGGCGCAGGCAGAAGTCAAAGCGAGGCAGTGATGCTAATGGGGGCAGCTGTGCCCACCACCACGGGCCCTGCTCCGCTGCTCCCACCTGCTCCGCTGCTCCCACCTGCTCCGCTGCTCCCACCTGCTCCGCTGCTCCCACCTGCTCTGCTGCGCTCAGGTGCTCCATCATGTGCTCTGTTGCATTCAGGTGTTCTGCTGCATTCACCGGCTCCACTGCACCGATATTTGCTGAAGCAGTGAGGTGCTGCGGCATGAGCAGGGTGGCATCAGCGCCTTTAGACTGCTTGAAGCTCTCCCCCCGCTCGCGGTGGCTCACACTCAGCGCCAGCCCTGCAGGCAGCGACGCGTAGAGGTTGAGCGCGGCCGTGGCGTGCGCCCATTTGACGATCCACGGCGTCCAGATGCCGTTGCCCTGCCGTGGGGGGGGAGGAGGAGGAGGGGAGACGAGGCGTGTCACAGCCACAGCCAGTACAGGGGCGAGCGCATGGTGCAGATGTGAGCAAGGAGGGGCCCGCGGGGAGGGGGAGAGGGGAGGGGGAGAGGGGAGGGGGAGGGGGAGAGGGGAGGGGGAGAGGGGAGGGGGAGGGGGAGAGGGGAGGGGGAGAGGGGAGTGGGAGAGGGGAGGGGGAGAGGGGAGGGGGAGTGGCAAGGCAGGCCCACAAAAGGTAGTGCAGTGCAAGCAAGGCTGGCAGTGGCTGGGAGTGGAGGACGGTGATGAGAGAGGGAGAAGAGAGAGGAGGGGTGGAGGGGAGCCCACACGCTCAACCGCATGCACAGTCACTTGCACACCCCCCCACCATCCCTCACACCCCCCTTCTCCTTTCCCCCACGGCACGCACCCGTCCCTTCCAGAAGCCCGTGGTCTTGAGCCCTCGGATGACCGGCTCCCTCCCCGGCGTGTACCGCCGCGCGTCGTACCACACGCGGAACGCCCGCCACGGCGCCGGCAGGAGCAGCTGCCCCCATGTGCCCACCAGCGCATACAGGAACGGTCGCCCCGTATGCGCTATGGCCGGGGCCGGCTGGCCGGGCACGAGGCGCTGGCGCTGCAGGGAGATGCCGTACACGTTAGAGTCATACTCGGTATTGTTGTAGTAGTAGCGGTGCAGCATGCGCTTGAGGTAGGAGTAGAAGAGCGACGACACGGCCACGTCGTCCTCCAACACGAACGCAAACTCGTTGCTGTCGCTGGGCCACCACGCCTCCATCCACTGTGCCTGCACGCCGCCGTTCATGCTGCGCACGTGCACCTGCACGCCACAGCACAGCACCCCCACCGCCAGTCAAGCTTTAAGAAGGGTTGGAGGCGCTGTTGTTGAGAACACACTGGTCCTGCTGTGCAGCTTTGCACGTGCCCACAGCCTAGCACCGTGCAGCCATTTGCTGATAATCCCCCACCATGCGCACCTGCTTGCGGCCGTGCTGCCATGCAAACGAGTCCGCCACTGCCAGCACGGATCGGAACTTGCGCCGCTTAGATGCCACCTCCCCCGCGCCACGCCTCTGCACCGCTCCAACCACAGACCGCACCTCCCCCAGCCGCCGCCGCCCCTGCGCCTGCCCCCGCGCCCTCTGCGCCCACAGTCGCCCCCGGTGGCGCCAGTTGGACAGGTCCCCCGCCTCCTCCACGCCAAAGGCGCTGCGCCCCAGCCCCACCGCGCCGACACCCGCGAATCCGCGCTTCGCGCCGCCAGGCAGCTGCGGACTCGCCTCGAGCCCTCGGTTCCGCGCTCCGCCTCCCCCCAGACCCCTCTCCACCGCGGATTCAGCCTGCACCGGGTCGTCCGCCTGCTCGCCTGCGCCCCACGCGCGGCGGTCCAAGCGGTCTGTGAGCTGTAGCGGGTCGTTCAGCTGCACGCCCGCGAACGGGTGGTCCACGTGAATGTCCAGTGACACGTCATCGCCGCCGTAGTCCGCCGCCCGCAATGATTGCAAGCAGCGGGACAGGCTCGCCGTGCGGTCGAACGTGAGCACGATGAGCCGCACGTGCATGCGAGACGCGTCGCGCGCGGAGCGATCCTCCGCGTCGCGGCTGCTCCAGCGGCTTCGTCGGTCGTGCCGGTCGGTGGTGCTGCCGCTGCTGCTGTCAGCGTGCATGGCGAATGGACTCGAATCGAGAGCATCTGCGGCGGGCGATTGGTGGCCAAATCCATCTCCGCCGTCCATCGCGGCGGCGAGAGCTGATCTGTGCGGACCTGGTGGCGCGGAGAGGCGGTGACAGATGTGCTGGATGAATGGCCACAAGAACGCGGAATGGGCGCTCAGTGCGACGCAAACGAGGACGACTACAACGAGCGCGACCGCCATACGAGGCAAGAAGAAGGCTGGGCGTTTGTAAACTCCCGCGGCTGCCGCTTGCGATTCGCCCGCAGGTGACGTGGCGCGCAGGTGGTCCTTGACGTCCCCATCGGGATTGCCACGTGGCGGCGAGTCCACCCTCCGCGGGTGGCGCTGGCGCCACATGGTCGTGCGTCGCACGCCGTGCTGCTACCGCGCGAGCAGCAGCGACGGCGGAGAGGTGAATGCGACGCGAAGACGCTACGCGACGCGGCGAATCAATGCTCAGCGGAATGGCGCAAAATGAGATGAGAAGTGACGAATGTGCGTGATGGATGCTTTTTGGGTTGCGTAGCAACCTTATTCCACATCGGTGCAATCCAGCTTCCAATATAGACTCCCTCGTTTCTGTGCTTACTGTATCCGTGAGCAAAAACAAATGTACCATATTACTAGTATTGGGGTTCTACACCCGCCCTCTACTTTCTTCCTTACGTGGCTCATCTTCAACCGTTGGTTCCCCCACATTGTACGCTGTTGTGTCAGGCCCAGTAGACATCCCCACAGCAGTGACCCAGGTCAAGCCCCAAACTTGCTCACTCGATCCTGACTTTCCTCTCATTCATCGCCCCCTGCTTGGCTCAACCAGTCCCGCGTCATTGTCTGTCCCGCTGGTTCAACCCGCGCCTCATTCTCCCACCATGGCCGCAACAAGCGCAGCAGCAGCCTCAGCGCTCGCGTCGCCTGCGGCGCGTCCGAACCTCGCGGACCTTCGCACGGCGGGCCATTCCGTCGCAGCGGCCCCCCTGTGCGCCCTTTCGCTCCGATCGTCGTCGGATCGCGTTAATGCCGCGAGTGCTTCAGTCGCCCGCGACGTCGCACAGGTCGCCAGGCGATCCGCCCGTCGAGCGACGTGGATCGCCTCCGTGAACGGCGGGTCTGGTGGCCCCGTGTACAGCGATGGCAACGAGAGCGACGACGCTGATGACGTGGCAGTCAGCGACGAGTCAGTGCCGGATGACATTCTCGAAACGCTCGCCCAATCAGCTGCTGCCACGCAATCAGCAGCCTTCATTTCCGCGAGCCTTGAAGCGAACGCGATCGCAGGCGGAGACTCCGCAGAAGAAGCGGCGGCCTTTGCGGCGGCGGAGGTGGCGGAGGCGGCGGCGCGCGCGCAGCAGCGGCAGCTGCGCGACCTGAAGCTGTGCCTGATCGACTCGCTGTACGGCACGGAGCGCGGGTTCCGCGCGAGCGGGGAGACGCGCGCGGAGGTGGCGGAGCTGGTGGCGCAGCTTGAAGCCGCCAACCCCACCGAGGCGCCCACCGAGTCGCCCGCGCTCAATGGCAACTGGGTGCTCGTGTGAGGCTCCTGTCTCCCTGCTGTTCGCCCGGTTACCCTCCTCACGTACTCCCCAACCCCACCACACTACCCCCTCCTCCGCCCTCTCCCATATTTCCTCTTGCTGAAAGCGCATACTGCTATCCCTTTTCCCTCACGCCCTTCTCACTCTCTCCTTCCATCTCCCCCATTCCTCCCCCCACTCCTTCCCCCCCCCCGCCCTCCCCTCCCCCTCTTAGCTACACGTTCTCAGAGCTGCTGCCGCTGCTGGCGGCGGGGCAGGTGCCGCTGGTGCGGGTGGGAGCCATCACGCAGAGCGTGGACGTGGCGGGGGGCGCGGTGAGCAACAGCATCTCGTTTGAGGGGCCGCTCACCTCCTCCACCATCCGCGTGGACGCCACGGCTGAGATCAGGAGCGGCAAGCGCCTGCAGGTCAGCCACGCACTGCTGCTGGGCTGGGGTGGGTGGGCGCACAAGGAGGTGCCGCGTGCAGATGCATGGGGGTGGGATGCGTCTGTTTGTGATGGACGTATGTCTGCCTTTTTCCCTCCATTCACACTCACCCTCATCTCTTCTTCTCCCTCTTTCCCCCCTCTCCACCCCCACCAGGTAAAGTTCGAGCAGGTGACCTTCTCCTCCCCGCAGCCCCTCGACGCCGCCTCCCCCCCATCCCTGGCGCCCATCGCGCTCTTCGGCCAGACCCTGGACCTCTCACCGCTGGCGGCAGCACTGCAGCCGGTGCAGCAGGCGGCACTGGAGGTGGCAAAGCTGGTGTCGGGCGCACCGCCGCTGGCGCTGCCCATCGATGGCGAGCGCGCAGCGGGGTGGCAGCTCATCACGTACCTCGATGATGACTTCCGGATTGCCAGGGGTGATGCCGGATCGCTGTTTGTCATGGTCAGGGAGGGCAGTGACCTGCTGGAGTGATCGAGGGAGAGGGGTGCTGTGTGGGTAGTACAGGGGGCTTGTTTGATGCCACACAACACGACCTTAGGAGGATGTTTATTACTGTTCAGCTAATAGTCAGGATGGGCAGTAGTGGGGCTTTGTATTATCCCGTTACCAGTAAGACACAGTACGGTATGTTTTTGCTTTATTCGCTCATATACGAAACAAAGATGGAATGACTGAACTCAATGGTGGTGGCCCGCTAAGAGGGGTTGATCCCCACACCAAGGGCGCTGTGCACTGGCTGGTTGGTTATTGTATCAGCGCCGACCAGCAGCTGCGCTGTGGTGCACCCATGGGAATAAACGCACTCGAGCCACATTACTCAGCCTCATCATCACCCGTACTTGTTTATAGGTTCCTTTTCTCCCTAATGGAGGCCACAGGAACCCATGCAGGCGCAGCTAGAGCTCGAAAACACGCGCCGTGTGGTCGTCCGACCCCGTCACCGCAAAGGTCCCATCACTGTAATGGGTGATGGGGCAGGCAGTGGGACACATGGCATGCAGCACAGGTCAGAGAGGGGCAGAGGGTGGGGCACAGAGGTGGTAGCGTGCAGCGGTGTGTGAAGGCCATGGGGAATGCATGCATTCCCGGACACTCAAGCACAGGTGTTAGAGTGGGAACAGAAGGGACACATGTGCAGTCTAAACATGCGTCATGATGGGCTTGACAGTGATGGTGTTGAGGTGTGAGGGGGGCAAGGGAGGGCTCACGGGGTGAGGGCAAGGGAGAGCACGGCATCACGGTTGCCACGCAGGGTCTTCTGAACGGCCCCCGTGCGTGCATCCCACACGTGCACTGCTCCATCTGCTGTCGCCGTCACCAGCACTGGTGCTGCGGGCGCCCATGCCATCTGCACCACCCCGTCCTGCCGGGTGGCAGCAAGGGTGGCGTAGGTAGGAGAGGGGAGAGAGGGGAGGGGGAGGGGAGAGTGATGGAACTGTGCATGTGTGAGTGCGTGAGGAGCATGACAGCGTGAGTGGTACATGGCACAATTCATGCAAGCCAGCACGAACAGCAACGAGCGGCGTGTGCAGCTGACCTGGTGTGTGCAGGTGGAGCGCAGCTGCAGCGAGTTGATGTCAAATATGCGCACTGACCCATCCAGTGATGCCGTTGCCACCGTTGGCCCCCTGCCATGCCACCAGCACGCACCCATGCATGCACGCACATGCACACACAGAGGCAGCAGTGAGGGCAAGATACAGCCGTGAGGGCAAGATACAGCCGTGAGGGCAAAATACAGCCGTGAGGGCAAGATACAGCCCTGAGCGCAAGATACAGCCGTGAGGGCAAGATACAGCCGTGAGGGCAAGATACAGCCGTGCCACTGCCTGTGCGATCGCAAGAATGCCACTGTCTCTGCCTCCCACTCGCTCTGGCAGTGTGTGGCAGTGGCAAGAGAGGCGCGAGCGGGAGGGAGGCACTCACTGGGGGTTGAAGACGACCGCCTCCACCGAGTCTGTGTGCCCTGTTAGTAACCCCAACACCTGCCCGCCCCCATGCCATGCCATGCCAAGCATGCCGCCAGGTGCCATGCACAGAGCCACGAGACAGAGCATTGTTGGGAGAAGAGAGTGATATGAGTGCCCTGTGCCGAGCTTGTAGGAAGCTGAGTGGACGTGAGCAGAGCAGAGCAGAGCGTGAGAGGAGCAATGGCAGAGCAAGGAGACAGCGGTAGAAGCAGCATGCTCCGTCACATGCACTGGCGTGCATGACAGCACCCCACCCTGGGCTGCTGCAGGCCAAAGAGGGCGGTGGTGTGGTCGGCGGAGCCAGCCGCGCCCACTGAGCCCTGTGGCGCCATGGCCAGACACGTGATGGCGTCGCTGTGGAACAACGGCCCTGCCACATGCCGTGCAGTAAGGGGAGGGGGTGAGCAGGACAAGGAGCACATAGGACATGAGACATGAGACATGGGGCAACGGACATGGGGCATGGGGCATGGGGCATGGGGCATGGGGCATGGGGCATGGGGCATGGTGCATGGTGCATGGGGCATGGGGCATGGGGCATGGGGCATGGGGCATGGGGCATGGGGCATGGTGCATGGGGCATGGGGCATGGGGCATGGGGCATGGGGCATGGGGCATGGGGCATGGGGCATGGGGCATGGGGCATGGTGCATGGGGCATGGGGCATGGGGCATGGGGCATGGGGCATGGGGCATGGGGCATGGGGCATGGTGCATGGGGCATGGGGCATGGGGCATGGGGCATGGGGTCATGGGGCATGGGGCATGGGGCATGGGGCATGGTGCATGGGGCATGGGGCATGGGGCATGGGGCATGGGGCATGGGGCATGGGGCATGGGGCATGGGACATGGGGCATGGGGCATGGGGCATGAGACATGGGGCAACGGACATGGGGCATGGGGCATGGGGCATGGGGCATGGGGCATGGGGCATGGGGCATGGGGCATGGGGCATGGGGCATGGGGCATGGTGCATGGGGCATGGGGCATGGGGCATGGGGCATGGGGCATGGGGCATGGGGCATGGGGCATGGGGCATGGTGCATGGGGCATGGGGCATGGGGCATGGGGCATGGGGCATGGGGCATGGGGCATGGGGCATGGGGCATGGTGCATGGGGCATGGGGCATGGGGCATGGGGCATGGGACATGGGGCATGGGGCATGGGGCATGGGGCATGGGGCATGGGGCATGGGACATGAGACATGAGACATGGGGCAACGGACATGGGGCATGGGACATGGGGCATGGGGCATGGGGCATGGGGCATGGGGCATGGGGCATGGGGCATGGGGCATGGGGCATGGGGCATGGGGCATGGGGCATGGTGCATGGGGCATGGGGCATGGGGCATGGGGCATGGGGCATGGGGCATGGGGCATGGGGCATGGGGCATGGGGCATGGTGCATGGGGCATGGGGCATGGGGCATGGGGCATGGGGCATGGGGCATGGGACATGGGGCATGGGGCATGGGGCATGGGGCATGGTGCATGGTGCATGGGGCATGGGGCATGGGGCATGGGGCATGGGGCATGGGGCATGGGGCATGGTGCATGGGGCATGGGGCATGGGGCATGGGGCATGGGGCATGGGGCATGGGGCATGGGGCATGGGGCATGGTGCATGGGGCATGGGGCATGGGGCATGGGGCATGGGGCATGGGGCATGGGACATGGGGCATGGGGCAACGGACATGGGGCATGGGGCATGGGGCATGGGACATGGGGCATGGGGCATGGGGCATGGGGCATGGGACATGGGGCATGGGGCATGGGGCATGGGGCATGGGGCATGGGGCATGGGGCATGGGGCATGGTGCATGGGGCATGGGGCATGGGGCATGGGGCATGGGGCATGGGGCATGGGGCATGGGGCATGGTGCATGGGGCATGGGGCATGGGGCATGGGGCATGGGGCATGGGGCATGGGACATGGGGCATGGGGCAACGGACATGGGGCATGGGGCATGGGGCATGGGACATGGGGCATGGGGCATGGGGCATGGGGCATGGGACATGGGGCATGGGGCATGGGGCATGGGGCATGGGGCATGGGGCATGGGGCATGAGGCATGGGGCATGGGGCATGGGGCATGGGGCATGGGGCATGGGACATGGGGCATGGGGCATGGGGCATGGGACATGAGACATGAGACATGGGGCAACGGACATGGGGCATGGGACATGGGGCATGGGGCATGGGGCATGGGACATGGGGCATGGGGCATGGGGCATGGGACATGGGGCATGGGGCATGGGGCATGGGACATGGGGCATGGGGCATGGGGCATGAGACATGGGGCAACGGACATGGGGCATGGGGCATGGGGCATGGGGCATGGGGCATGGGGCATGGGGCATGGGGCATGGGGCATGGGGCATGGTGCATGGGGCATGGGGCATGGGGCATGGGGCATGGGGCATGGGGCATGGGGCATGGGGCATGGGGCATGGGGCATGGTGCATGGGGCATGGGGCATGGGGCATGGGGCATGGGGCATGGGGCATGGGACATGGGGCATGGGGCATGGGGCATGGGACATGGGGCATGGGGCATGGGGCATGGGGCATGGGACATGGGGCATGGGGCATGGGGCATGGGACATGGGGCATGGGGCATGGGGCATGAGACATGGGGCAACGGACATGGGGCATGGGGCATGGGGCATGGGGCATGGGGCATGGGGCATGGGGCATGGGGCATGGGGCATGGGGCATGGGGCATGGGGCATGGGACATGGGGCATGGGGCATGGGGCATGAGACATGGGGCAACGGACATGGGGCATGGGGCATGGGGCATGGGGCATGGGGCATGGGGCATGGGGCATGGGGCATGGGGCATGGTGCATGGGGCATGGGGCATGGGGCATGGGGCATGGGGCATGGGGCATGGGGCATGGGGCATGGGGCATGGTGCATGGGGCATGGGGCATGGGGCATGGGGCATGGGGCATGGGGCATGGGGCATGGGGCATGGGGCATGGTGCATGGGGCATGGGGCATGGGGCATGGGGCATGGGGCATGGGGCATGGGGCATGGGGCATGGGACATGGGGCATGGGGCATGGGGCATGAGACATGGGGCAACGGACATGGGGCATGGGCATGGGGCATGGGGCATGGGGCATGGGGCATGGGGCATGGGGCATGGGGCATGGGGCATGGGGCATGGGGCATGGGGCATGGGGCATGGGGCATGGGGCATGGGGCATGGGGCATGGGGCATGGGGCATGGGGCATGGGGCATGGTGCATGGGGCATGGGGCATGGGGCATGGGGCATGGGGCATGGGGCATGGGGCATGGGGCATGGGGCATGGTGCATGGGGCATGGGGCATGGGGCATGGGACATGGGGCATGGGGCATGGGGCATGGGGCATGGGGCATGGGGCATGGGACATGAGACATGAGACATGGGGCAACGGACATGGGGCATGGGACATGGGGCATGGGGCATGGGGCATGGGGCATGGGGCATGGGGCATGGGGCATGGGGCATGGGGCATGGGGCATGGGGCATGGGGCATGGTGCATGGGCATGGGGCATGGGGCATGGGGCATGGGGCATGGGGCATGGGGCATGGGGCATGGGGCATGGGGCATGGTGCATGGGGCATGGGGCATGGGGCATGGGGCATGGGGCATGGGACATGGGGCATGGGGCATGGGGCATGGGGCATGGGGCATGGGACATGGGGCATGGGGCATGGGGCATGGGGCATGGGACATGGGGCATGGGGCATGGGGCATGAGACATGGGGCAACGGACATGGGGCATGGGGCATGGGGCATGGGGCATGGGGCATGGGGCATGGGGCATGGGGCATGGGGCATGGGGCATGGGGCATGGGACATGGGGCATGGGGCATGGGGCATGAGACATGGGGCAACGGACATGGGGCATGGTGCATGGGGCATGGGGCATGGGGCATGGGGCATGGGGCATGGGGCATGGGGCATGGGGCATGGTGCATGGGGCATGGGGCATGGGGCATGGGGCATGGGGCATGGGGCATGGGGCATGGGGCATGGGGCATGGGGCATGGTGCATGGGGCATGGGGCATGGGGCATGGGGCATGGGGCATGGGGCATGGGACATGGGGCATGGGGCATGGGGCATGGGGCATGGGGCATGGGACATGGGGCATGGGGCATGGGGCATGGGGCATGGGACATGGGGCATGGGGCATGGGGCATGGGACATGGGGCATGGGGCATGGGGCATGAGACATGGGGCAACGGACATGGGGCATGGGGCATGGGGCATGGGGCATGGGGCATGGGGCATGGGGCATGGGGCATGGGGCATGGGACATGGGGCATGGGGCATGGGGCATGAGACATGGGGCAACGGACATGGGGCATGGGGCATGGGGCATGGGGCATGGGGCATGAGGCATGGGGCATGGGGCATGGGGCATGGGGCATGGGGCATGGGACATGGGGCATGGGGCATGGGGCATGGGACATGGGGCATGGGGCATGGGGCATGGGGCATGGGGCATGGGGCATGGGGCATGGGGCATGGGGCATGGGGCATGGGGCATGGGGCATGGGGCATGGGGCATGGTGCATGGGGCATGGGGCATGGGGCATGGGGCATGGGGCATGGGGCATGGGGCATGGGGCATGGGGCATGGGGCATGGGCATGGGGCATGGGGCATGGGGCATGGGGCATGGGCATGGGCATGGTGCATGGGGCATGGGGCATGGGGCATGGGACATGGGGCATGGGGCATGGGGCATGGGGCATGGGGCATGGGGCATGGGACATGAGACATGAGACATGGGGCAACGGACATGGGGCATGGGACATGGGGCATGGGGCATGGGGCATGGGGCATGGGGCATGGGGCATGGGGCATGGGGCATGGGGCATGGGGCATGGGGCATGGGGCATGGTGCATGGGGCATGGGGCATGGGGCATGGGGCATGGGGCATGGGGCATGGGGCATGGGGCATGGGGCATGGGGCATGGTGCATGGGGCATGGGGCATGGGGCATGGGGCATGGGGCATGGGGCATGGGACATGGGGCATGGGGCATGGGGCATGGGGCATGGGGCATGGGACATGGGGCATGGGGCATGGGGCATGGGGCATGGGACATGGGGCATGGGGCATGGGGCATGAGACATGGGGCAACGGACATGGGGCATGGGGCATGGGGCATGGGGCATGGGGCATGGGGCATGGGGCATGGGGCATGGGGCATGGGGCATGGGGCATGGGACATGGGGCATGGGGCATGGGGCATGAGACATGGGGCAACGGACATGGGGCATGGTGCATGGGGCATGGGGCATGGGGCATGGGGCATGGGGCATGGGGCATGGGGCATGGGGCATGGTGCATGGGGCATGGGGCATGGGGCATGGGGCATGGGGCATGGGGCATGGGGCATGGGGCATGGGGCATGGGGCATGGTGCATGGGGCATGGGGCATGGGGCATGGGGCATGGGGCATGGGGCATGGGACATGGGGCATGGGGCATGGGGCATGGGGCATGGGGCATGGGACATGGGGCATGGGGCATGGGGCATGGGGCATGGGACATGGGGCATGGGGCATGGGGCATGGGACATGGGGCATGGGGCATGGGGCATGAGACATGGGGCAACGGACATGGGCATGGGCATGGGGCATGGGGCATGGGGCATGGGGCATGGGGCATGGGGCATGGGGCATGGGGCATGGGACATGGGGCATGGGGCATGGGGCATGAGACATGGGGCAACGGACATGGGGCATGGGGCATGGGGCATGGGGCATGGGGCATGAGGCATGGGGCATGGGGCATGGGGCATGGGGCATGGGGCATGGGACATGGGGCATGGGGCATGGGGCATGGGACATGAGACATGAGACATGGGGCAACGGACATGGGGCATGGGACATGGGGCATGGGGCATGGGGCATGGGGCATGGGGCATGGGGCATGGGGCATGGGGCATGGGGCATGGGGCATGGTGCATGGGGCATGGGGCATGGGGCATGGGGCATGGGGCATGGGGCATGGGGCATGGGGCATGGGGCATGGGGCATGGTGCATGGGGCATGGGGCATGGGGCATGGGGCATGGGGCATGGGGCATGGGGCATGGGGCATGGGGCATGGTGCATGGGGCATGGGGCATGGGGCATGGGGCATGGGGCATGGGGCATGGGGCATGGGGCATGGGACATGGGGCATGGGGCATGGGGCATGAGACATGGGGCAACGGACATGGGGCATGGGGCATGGGGCATGGGGCATGGGGCATGGGGCATGGGGCATGGGGCATGGGGCATGGGGCATGGTGCATGGGGCATGGGGCATGGGGCATGGGGCATGGGGCATGGGGCATGGGGCATGGGGCATGGGGCATGGGGCATGGTGCATGGGGCATGGGGCATGGGGCATGGGGCATGGGGCATGGGGCATGGGGCATGGGGCATGGGGCATGGGGCATGGGGCATGGGGCATGGGGCATGGGGCATGGGGCATGGGGCATGGGGCATGGGGCATGGGGCATGGGGCACACCCGAGGACACAGCCATTCCCTATTAAAACACGCAATCCACGTGGGTGAGGTGAGAGGGGCGCGACGGGTGGGAGAGGGGCGAGAGGAGACCTGCGAGGGTGGCGGTGGTGGCGGCAGAGCGCGGGTCCCAGCAGCGCACGGACCCGTCCGTTGACCCCGTCCACACTGCCCGGCCTGGTGGGTGGGGGAGAAGGGGAAGAGGAGGATTGCGAAAGGAAAGGAGAGGGGAGGGAAGGGGTGGAGGGAGGGGGAGGGAAGAAGGCATGGGTAGGGTTGGGGAGGGCAAGTGGGGCATGAGCACTGCCTCTCTTGAATGCTGCTCTGCTGTGCACTGGACCACACTCTGAAACACACTAGGTGCTCTGCTGCCAGGGTGCATGCAGGCATGGGAGCAGAGGGAGCACGTACCATCGGGGGAGAAGGCCCCACAGGTGACCCCAGCGCTGTGCCCCGTGAAGACGGCCATGCACGCCCCCGTCTCCGCATTCCACATCCACGCTGTCAGGTCCTCCGACCCCGCCAGTACCACCGCGCCACGTGGATGCCACGTCAGGAACTGGGCAGGGACGGCGGGTGCAGTGAGGGGGGGGAGACGAGAAAGGGTGAGGATGGTGAGTGGAAATGGGGTGGGATACGGGTGGAGGGGAAGGTGAGTGAGCTCCGCCACAGCAGGCACAGCAACCAGCATTCCCAATGACCACACAGCGGTGGGGGGAGCATCGCAGAGGAAGGCGAGGGCGGGCCCTGCCGTGCCACCCATGCGATGCGCACCTCGATGCCCTCCCCGGGCCCCTCAAGGCGGTGGCGCCTCTCCCCCGAGGCGGCGTCCCACAGCATGACCACTCCGTCCAGCCCCGCCGTGGCCACCCACCGCCCGTCCCCACTGAACTCCACCGCCGCTATGCTGTCCCTGTGCCCTGCCATGCGGAGGGGGGGGAGAGGTGAGGGGGGATAGCAAGGAGGGAAGCGGGTGTGAGGCCAGGAAATGCTTGGCACGCGGCAGGCAGAGATGGCAGCGACCTTCTCTCCTGCCACTGACCCATCTGTGCATGGCATGGTGGCATGGTGGTGACATGGTGGCATACTGGCATGTGCTATTGCCCCACCCACCCACAGCGGCAGCCCACCTTGGAGCTTGACGGGGTCCTCCGCCTGCCCGATGGTCCACAGGTACGCCACCTCGTCCCCGCCGCCCGATGCCACTCTGCCGCCCGGGAGAGGGCTGCACGCCACGGCGTACACACAGTCTGGTGGGCAGCAGGGGGAGGGGTGAGACGAGAAGAGGTGTTGCATGGGCGTATGGCAGGCACAGCAGCAGGCACAGCAGCGGGCACAGCAGCAGGCACAGCAGCGGGCACAGCAGCAGGCACAGCAGCGGGCACAGCAGCGGGCACAGCAGCGAGCGCTATGCAGGTGTGGCATGCAGCGGTGAAGAGGAGCAGAGCACTGACCTGTGTGCGCCGTAAACACATGCACTGAGTCGTCCTGCCCTCCCTCCTCATCCTCCTCGCCCTCCTCGCCCCCTGCCACCATCCACCCCACAGCAGCACGCAATTAGTCACGGCACGTGCAGCACAGGGCAACGCATGAGAAGGGGCAACGGAAGGCAGTCAGTGCAGCAGCACTGATGGAGCAGCACTGATGGAGCAGCAGTGATGGAGCAGCAGTGATGGAGCAGCACTGATGGAGCAGCAGTGATGGAGCAGCACTGATGGAGCAGCACTGATGGAGCAGCACTAATGGAGCAGCACTGATGGAGCAGCAGTGATGGAGCAGCAGTGATGGAGCAGCAGTGATGGAGCAGCACTGATGGAGCAGCAGTGATGGAGCAGCACTGATGGAGCAGCACTGATGGAGCAGCACTGATGGAGCAGCACTAATGGAGCAGCACTGATGGAGCAGCACTAATGGAGCAGCACTGATGGAGCAGCACTAATGGAGCAGCAGTGATGGAGCAGCAGTGATGGAGCAGCAGTGATGGAGCAGCACTGATGGAGCAGCACTGATGGAGCAGCAGTGATGGAGCAGCAGTGATGGAGCAGCACTGATGGAGCAGCACTGATGGAGCAGCACTGATGGAGCAACACTAATGGAGCAGCACTGATGGAGCAGCACTGATGGAGCAGCAGTGCTGGAGCAGCACTGATGGAGCAGCACTGATGGAGCAGCACTGATGGAGCAGCACTGATGGAGCAGCACTGATGGAGCAGCACTGATGGAGCAGCACTGATGGAGCAGCACTGATGGAGCAGCACTGATGGAGCAGCACCAATGTTCAAAATTTCGGTTGGGGTAAAATACGCTCCGTTTAAAACGCTCGTATTTTACGCTGTTTTTTCAAAATTTCGGCTGTTTTTTTGTTGGAGATTTTTGTGCCAAAAAAAATAAAAACAGAAAGGGTTCATAGATGATTCCAGAACAGGGCAGCATACAAACAGAAAGTAACATGCTAAAAACTAGTCAGAAATGAGCAAACACAGTCAGGTCCCTCCTCCTTCCTAACTACCTACTCTTACTCCTTCTACCCCTCCTACCTAGTCCTTATCCTTCAGCCCCCTCCTCTTATCTAGTCCTTACCCTTCAGCCCCCTCCACTTACCGATAAGTTATCCTTCAGCCCCCTCCTCCTACTTGGTCCTTATCCTTCAGCCCCCTCCTCCCCTACCTAGTCCTAATCCTTCTCCTCTTCCTCATCCTCCTCGTCATCCTCCTCCTCCCCGCTACTCCCGTCGCTACAATCCCACGCATTCACCCCCTTGTTCTTCCGCTTGGTTGGTTCATCCGGACCACTGTCATCACTGCTCCCATCCTCCGCCTCTTCTTCCTCTTCCTCACAAACCTTCTCCTTCTCCTTGCGGGACCCACTGCCCTTGGAAGCACTCTTCTTCTTCTTCAGATTTGCGCGCTTCCTTTTGGTCACCCGCTTGCCAATGTTCCCGAAGGTGTCCCAATCAATGGTACACGGCTCCCCCCCCGCCTCCTCCTCCTCATCCACCTCCGCCTCCACCGGAAGAGAAAGGATCACGCTGCTGCTGCCCTCCTGCAGCGATCCATTGCTCAGGTCGCTGTAGAGCTTTGCACGGGCCTCTGTTTTTTAGTCATAGGACTCCCGAGCCCGCCGGCCAAATTCCACAAATGCCACGTCCGTCATGGACGTGGCATTCAGCCGGTTGCGGTCCCGCCTTTGGACCCTAGCGAGAGCGGACCAATACCGCTCGACCTCGGATGAAGTCACGGGCTGGGAGAGCAAAATCACCGCAACCTTTTGCAAAGCACGCACCTCACCCCCATACAGCTCCCACCACTCAGCCGCGGAGAGCCTCCCGCTCTCCACCAAGATGGTGGCAGCCCACCGCGCATCCACAGACCCCAACTTCCCCTCTCCCTTGTGAAAAGCGGCTAGTTGCACCGCTAGCATCGTCCGCATCTCAACACTGCCCCCCCTTGCCTTAAACACCTCTTCAGCCCCCGCCCTCAGTTCGGGATCCTCCCGAACCTCGCGTACGTACTGGTTTTTCGGGTTTAGAAGCCACCCCAAGGCGTGGAGGGGGTTGTGCAGCTGTCCGTCCCATCGGTTGGCTATGATAGCCTTAAACGCAGCAAGAAACGCGGCCTTCTCGTTTCCCGGAAGCAAACCGGTTTTCTTGGAGAGTTGGGCAGCTGCGCTCGCAGGAAGAGCAACACATTCATGGTGAGTAATAGCGTGGGAGTGGCTGGTGTAGGGACAGATTCGTTGAACTAACAGATTCATATGTCTAATACATTGAACTTACCCGCCTTCGTTGCCGCTTCGTTGGTCTTGACCGTAGCCTCAAGCATGAGGCCGTAGATCCGCCCCATCACAAGGGACCGCCGGTCAACGATGCGTAGCACCTCGTAGATGGGCTTAATGAGGCCGAGAATGGCCGTGACGGAGTCCCAAAACGTCTCCTCCAAGAGGAGACCACGGATAGCCTGTCCCTCCTCCGTGTTCGCCACCGCCACAGTTTTCCACTCCTCACTAATCACCATCTCCTTCAATGCCTTTTTAACCTCAAGGAAACGCTCGATCATGATCACTTGCGTTCCAAAACGAGTAGCACCAGGGCGGACAAGCGCTAGCTTGCTAAACAACTCACGGAAAAGTGTGACGGCCGAGGCACTCCCCTTGACCATCATCACAACCCGATGCACCTGGTTGAGGACCCTCTTCACCGCCTTCACCTTCCCCATATCGTGAAGCATGAGGTCCAAGACGTGGGCCGCACAATTGGTGAAGAAGACTTGCGGGTACTCGTCCTTGAGCAAGTTAGCCGCGCGCTTGTTGTTAGCCGCGTTGTCCATGACGACTTGGACAACGTGGCTGTCCCCCACCTCGCAAATCGAATGTTGGATGAGCTTCGCGAGGTACTCTCCAGTTTTTTTCGCGGTTTTGGAGTCGACGCAGTCCACAATCACCGGCGCGGTGTCGTTTTGGGCGATGACGCAAATCATGCCTCGGCTTTTGAGGCACGTCCAACCGTCCATCGTGAGGGTGCATCCGCTTCTCGGCCAACTCTCTTTGATTGGCTTGATGAGCTCCTCCGTGTCGAGCTTCAACTTGACAAGAAGTGGGCCCGCCACCTTGTATGCCGAAGGTAAGGTGTAGGCCTTCCCGAATGCGGCGACTGCATCCACAAACGCTTGCATCGCCTTAGACGAAGACGTCCTAAACGCCAGGTCGTTTTCCGCCACAGCAGCCGCCCACAGGTAGTCCAAGCGTCCGCGCGCTGTCACGTCGGCCATCTCCCGAATGTCCCGCTGCCGTGAGCGCCGGGGTAACTGCACCTCCACAGTGGACGTACGCTCCTCGACGGACGACGCTCGCAGCTGCTTCGCATAATCTGATTCGCAGTTCGTTACGTTCTTATGCTTGGAGCTTGGGGTGCCTAAAAGGTGCTCCCCAATTCTAGTTGCATTTGGGGTTACCGGCAAACCGCAGTGAAGGCACACGCAGCTAGTGACTGTACCATCTTCCGCCGTCTCTTTCTTGACGTGCAACCAAAAGCGTGACGTCGGTCGAACCATGGCGCAAGGCTTGGGGTGGCTAATCTGAAAGAGAGAGTGCAGGAGTAGTTTTCATGCTATTCGAATCAATAGCCTCAGTAGCTATGAGTTAAAGGCTCTGGACAGAGCCTCTTCGTACTTCGGGAGCTGAAGTGCATTGTCGAGATGAGAATGAGCAACTCACTTCGAAAGATTGGGCTTGGGCTGCTGTGATTGGTTGCGACTCGCGCGTGGCACGCTCTTTGCGAGACACCCCGCTTGCGCGAAAAAATTTCGCTTCTAGCGCGATTTTTTTACAAATTTAACGAAACGGCTTGTGACTTCGGTTCGCGATCGCGAAATGCTGCATGCGGGGCGACTCAACAAACATGGTTGGGGTGTTCTGATTGGTCGCGCTTTGCAATAGCATTGCGCGAAAATTGCGAAACACTCTGTATGCGGCTTGCTAGTTTGTCAGCTGGCGCGAAAGGGGTCAAAATTTGGCGAAACAGGTAATCCTGTCGTCAAATGTTGGGATGCGCGACTCGGTTCAGACTGGATTCGCGGCTCGAGAAAAATTCACGAGCCGCATGTCGGAAATTGTCAGTGAAAACGGCAATCAGTTCCTATCCCCTTTAAAAATCCTCCGATAATGAGTTACAACCCTGGTTTCAAAATTTCGGCCGTAAAAAACGGCCGTTTTTTTGCACCAGCACAAAATGGCAAGGTTTCACCGTTTTAAACCGTTTTCTACGACCGAAAACTACGCTAGCGTTTTTTACGCCAAAATTTCAAAGTTTCGGCCGTTATTTTGCACCTTGAGCAGCACTGATGGAGCAGCACTGATGGAGCAGCACTGATGGAGCAGCACTGATGGAGCAGCACTGATGGAGCAGCACTGATGGAGCAACACTGATGGAGCAGCACTGATGGAGCAGCACTGATGGAGCAGCACTGATGGAGCAGCACTGATGGAGCAGCACTGATGGAGCAGCACTTATGGAGCAGCACTGATGGAGCAGCACTAATGGAGCAGCAGTGATGGAGCAGCAGTGATGGAGCAGCACTGATAGAGCAGCACTGATGGAGCAGCACTGATGGAGCAGCACTGATGGAGCAGCAGTGATGGAGCAGCAGTGATGGAGCAGCACTGATGGAGCAGCACTGATGGAGCAGCACTGATGGAGCAGCACTGATGGAGCAGCACTAATGGAGCAGCACTGATGGAGCAGCACTGATGGAGCAGCACTAATGGAGCAGCACTGATGGAGCAGCACTAATGGAGCAGCAGTGATGGAGCAGCACTGATGGAGCAGCACTAATGGAGCAGCAGTGATGGAGCAGCACTGATGGAGCAGCACTGATGGAGCAGCACTGATGGAGCAGCACTGATGGAGCAGCACTGATGGAGCAGCACTGATGGAGCAGCACTGATGGAGCAGCACTAATGGAGCAGCACTAATGGAGCAGCAGTGATGGAGCAGCACTGATGGAGCAGCACTAATGGAGCAGCACTGATGGAGCAGCACTGATGGAGCAGCACTGATGGAGCAGCACTGACTGATGGAGCAGCACTGATGGAGCAGCACTGATGGAGCAGCACTGATGGAGCAGCACTGATGGAGCAGCACTGATGGAGCAGCACTGATGGAGCAGCGGTGCGGCTGAACAGTACAGTGGAGTGCTCCCATTTCCATTCCCATTCCCACCCTTACAGCAAGCATAGGCACGCCGCCATGCCACCATGCCATGACCCCGATTTCCCCATTCATACACACCCACCTCCCACCACCACCCCTAGCCCTGCTCACCCATGCCATCGTCTGCGAGCTCAGCAGGCGTGTCGTCGTCATCAAAGTCGGCAGACAGGACGTCATCGTCTGATGGGCGCACGGGGCAGCAGCGGCAAGGGGGAGTGGAAGGGAAATGAATGAGGCGAGGGCGAGTAGTTGAGGAGAAAGGGAAGCGGCACAGAAACCGAGTGAAGACAACTTGGCCTGCCAGGCTTGGCCTGCCAGGCTTGGCCTGCCAGGCTTGGGATGCAACTAGGAGAGCTCAAGAGGCAGCACACGCATGGAGCAGGCAACAAGGCACGTGAGTGCATGGCTGCTCCCTCCCACCACGTCACTGCCTGCCGCCTCATCACCCACCCGTCCCTGCCTCCACCCCTCCACCCGTCACCGCGCTTGCAGCTTTAAGCCCAAAACCCTCCCGAGCGACGCTAAAGTCCCTGCTAACCCCTCATCCCCCGTGCCCCATCCCTCTCTCTTCCTCCGTTCCCCACCCCCCCGTCTCCCCCCTCCCTCCCCCACGTCACCTCCGGAGTCGATTTCAACCAGCTCCTCGTCCCCCTCGCCAATCTCCGCGAATTCCTCCTCTCCCTCCCGCCCCTCCTCCCCTTCCCCCTCCCGCTCTCCCCCGCGCATGCCGTTCGGCGGCCGTGACTGCACAAGGTCCGGAGGGGGCAGGGCGGGGGGGATGGGGGACGGGATGGGGGATGCACGGGCGCGAGACGGAGGGGCGGAGAGTCGGCGTGGGCGCGCGGGTGGGCCAAGGCGACTTGTGGTGAAAGCGGCCGACCGAGGACGTCACGAGAGGAAGATGGAAAACGATCGAACAAAACTAGAGTGGGAAAGAGCGATGCGGGCCGCAGCAGCGGTCATGGCGGCACGGCGGAGAAAGCGGATCGGGGGCGAGGGGACGAGACGTGGCGTGACGTGACACGTGCGACTGACCATGCAGCAGAGGCGAGCGCGACCGCAAGGGTGGTGTAGCAGCCGGCGACGAGCGCGAGAAGGGAATAAATTAGACTGGTGCCCTCCGCAGTTCCCGCGCGGATGGCGGCGGGCCGAGCGGCGGGAAAGAATGCAGTGGCGGTGCACGGCGCGACGACGACGTCACGAAGGAGGCAAGAGAGGCAGACGCCACGGCGATACGAGACGGACAGTGAGCAGACAGGAGGGCAGCTATTTGCACTTGCACGCGGGCAACGTCTTAGGGCGTATTCCTGACTTCGGGTCATCCGGTGTTTATGTCATCCGAAATTGTGGGAGCCAATCGGAAAACCCGCGGTTTGAGAGTAGAGTTTTTCGATTGGATCCCAAAATTTCGGATGACATGAAGACGGGATGACCCGAAGTCAGGAATACGCCCTTATTGCTCACGTTTCATGTGCTCCAGACATCCGTTTCACGTTTCGGTTGGCTTCACCTTCACCGCGTACCAGTTGTAACCAATTCTCTTGAAGCCTTGTGTCGTTTTACTTTTGTCTTGATGTCATGCAAATGTGCATATTTTCCGAGTTTTCCGCATGAAATGGTTCGAGCTGTCGTTGATGAAAACACGCCCTGGAACCGTTAGCGAACCAGCCCACCCCACACCCCACCCATAAACCCGCCCCGTGGGGGACCTGATGTTCCACGCACTTCACGTAAGCTTAGATCGGTTCTTCCCTTACGTTCAGAGGCACCCGTCACCGTCACGCGGCGGATCGGTTCTTCCCGTTTGCAGTCCGTCCCTTGTTGACCCGCGCAACGCTAGCCTCTCCGCCCGCCACCACTCGCATTTATCCATCCGTCGCTCCCCCGCCCGTCCTTCCTTCCCGCGGCTCCTCCATGGTGGTCCGCGAGGCGCCTCCGCTGGAGCAGGTGCGGCGGCTCGGCGCGCAGCTGCTGCAGTCGCGGGAGCACGTCAACAACGTCGTCGCGCTGCTACGATTCGCGACGCATCGCGACGGCGCGGTGGCGGCGGAGGCGGTGACGATGCTGCAGGCGTTCTTCGCGCAGCTGCTGCGCTCCGACGAGCTGCTGCTCCACCCCGCGCCCTGTATGCCCCTCGCGGCCCATTAAAATTCCTGCCACCAGTATAATCCCTGAACCCTCATAAACCCCTTTCCTACCGTCTCCGCTTCAAACCCTGTCCGTGCCCCGTCATGATGCAAAATCCCGCTATTGCGCGCCGCTGCCTGACACGGCGGGGAAGGGGCTCTGCCAGCAGCCCCGCAGCCGCTACCGCGGCGCTATGCATTTCCCCCCTCTCACACGCCCTTTCCTCCCGTCGTGCCACGTGGCAGCTAGCCGCTCGGGCGGCGCGGGCGGGCGGGCGGGGGAGGAGCGGGCGAAGGAGGAGGTGTATCAGCAGTGGGCGCGTGCTCGGTACGGCGAGTACACGGGCGCGCTCAAGGCGCGCCTCAGATCCGCGGAGAGCAGCGCCGCCAGCAAGGTGCGCGGAGGCGCGCGTGGGAGAGGAGAATCGTGTTGGTGGGGGCGGGCATGGGGAGCAGATAGGCGCGTAGAAGGACGCGGAAGGCGGGCGCGCATCGCAGGGGGGATGTTGGGGGAGTGACGGCGAGGGGGCATGGGGGGTGGGTAGAGGGCGGTGCAGGCAGGAGTAGGGCGGAGGGCGGAGGGCGGAGAGGGGGAAGGGCGTGGCAATGTGTGGGCGACTGTGGTCCCTGGGGCGCAATGCACGAACCATGCACTTTATTGGGTGTAAACATCCACACTATCCCTTTTCCTCCCCTCTACGCCCTCCCCCACCGCTCCCCCATCAGCGCATAGCGGTGGAGCATCTGATGGAGCTGGCTCGTCTGGAAAAGAAGGGCGGCCTGGCTGGCGCCACCATCAACAAAATACTCATCCCGCTGGTGAGCCGTGCCATCCCCCTGGTGAGCCGTGCCATGCCGCTGGTGAGCCGTGCCATGCCCCTGGTGAGCCGTGCCATGCCGCTGGTGAGCCGTGCCATGCCCCTGGTGAGCCGTGCCATGCCGCTGGTGAGCTGTGCCATGCCATGCCCATTCACACCAACCGCTCTTCCATAACCGTCATTGCCAATCGTCTCCTCATCCCTTTCCTCCTCTCCCTTTTCCCCAACTCCCCCACCTTCCCCCTCTCCCCCTCCTCGCCTCTCCCCCCACCACTCAGGTGGAGGGCGAGGCGGGCGACCCCTCAGTGCTCGCCAAGTTCGCCGCCTTCTTCACCCATGCTGACGTCAGGTGGGTGCGTGTTTCGCTGCGGTGCACATGGCATTGTGCCACTGCTCGTGCGTGCCGTGCATGCCGTCCCCATCACCACCACCAATCGCACTCACCATCACTGTCCTTCACCGCCGCTCTCAACCCCACACCCGCGCTCCCACGCCACGCCATGGCAGGCGGCATGTGTACGGGGCAGTGGAGCAGCTGTGTGCGACCATGGCTGCTGCCGCCGCCAAGCACTCAAACGCTGCTCAGGATGCTGATGCCCATGCAGGTGCGGCCGCCTGCATGCCACTGCGTTGGCTTGGGCCATCATCTGCCTGCACCCACACACACACACACACACACACACACACACACACACACACTACATTCCACGTCCCTTCTTCGCTTCTTGCTGTCTTGCCTTGAGTCCAATGAAATACATGCTTTAGCCCAAGGCAAACAATGCTGCCTGTTTTTCAATAGTAGTGCCCGATGACAATGCTCGTGCATTCCTTCTCCATCTCTCGTCCCCATTCGCCTCCCTGTGCGCCCTGCCACCACAACCGCGCGTGCCTGCAAACACACGCCATGTGCTGCTCGCTGGACCGTGCCTGCCTGCCCGCCTTCCTCCCTGCCTGCCTGCGTACTGTCGGCCTGCCTGCCCTGCGTGCCACGCGTGCATCCACGAGCGCGCTCAGCCGTCGTCAAGCGAGTGAGTGTCTGCCCACACCGCACCCCTGCACACGCCCATTACCTTCACCAGTGGGCCTGTGTGCTTCCATTCGCTGCACAGCAACCACGCCTCACAGCTCCTGCTGTGCTGCGCTGCGCTCTTCTCAAACAGTGTGTCTTCTCCTCATTGTCATCACCTCTCCCCCCACGCACCAATCACAGGACGCCATGTGCCTCAACATACTGGAGGTGCTGCTAGCCATGCCCATGCCGCCCGCCCCCAAGCCGGGCGGCAAGAGGCTGCTGGCGGAGGAGGGGCAGGGCGGGGGCGAGCAGGACGACGACCTGCTCTCCACCTGGGCGCTGCCTGCCCCCCCCTCTTGTGCGTGCTGCCTTGGGTTGGGTGGGGTCCCCACCGCTCCCTCTTCCCCCGCACTTGCCGTTCTTGCTCGTCACGTGCGCTCATCGCCCTGTCCGCCATCTCTCATTGCCACTCTGTCTTCCTCTCGCCCCATTCCCAACTCCTGTGGAGCGCAGGGGGAGCACAGCAGCGGGGGGGCAAGCAGAGTGTGGGTGGCAAGCGAGCGAGACAGGCAGGGCAGCAGGGCAGTAGGAAGCGGGCTGTGGGTATGAAAGACGAGGGGGGGAGGGAGGAAGAGGGGGAGCAGGGGGAGGGGGAGGCGGAGGAGAGGAGGGCAGTGGTGGTGGGGGAGGAGCGCAAGGCCCTGGCAGGGGCGTGGCTGGGGCTGCTCGCCCTGCCTCTGCCCCTCGACGCCTACAAAAAGGTCATTTCCACCCCCTCCTCGCTACACCCCGCACCCTTCCATCCCAATTCCTCCACCGCCCCTCCCACACACATTCTACTTAAAAAATCTCAAACCCGTGTGACATCTTCCGTTTCTCAACATTGACTTCTCTACTGGCCCATCCCTTGGCGCACCTTCCACCATGCCGCAGGTGTTGGGTCGACTGCACAACCTCATCCCACATCTGCCCAATCCCTTGCTGCTGAGGTGCACTCCTGCCCCTCTCCCCCCACCCCTCTCACCTCCTGTCACCTCGTCCAAGGCATGTATCTCATCCACTGTCTCCCCTGTGCCCCACTCGTACCCCCTCACCATATACTATTCTTTGACTATACCTGTCAAACCTAGTGGTTTCTTCTCATCCCAATGACGCCATGTGCTGTAGTAACTCCTCACGCGCCCCACCGCCTCACGCGCCCCACCACCTCACGCGCCCCACCACCTCACGCGCCCCACCACCTCACGCGCCCCACCGCCTCACGCGCCCCACCGCCTCACGCGCCCCACCACCTCACGCGCCCCACCACCTCACGCGCCCCACCACCTCACGCGCCCCACCACCTCACGCGCCCCACCGCCTCACGCGCCCCACCACCTCACGCGCCCCACCACCTCACGCGCCCCACCGCCTCACGCGCCCCACCACCTCACGCGCCCCACCACCTCACGCGCCCCACCGCCTCACGCGCCCCACCACCTCACGCGCCCCACCACCTCACGCGCCCCACCACCTCACGCGCCCCACCGCCTCACGCGCCCCACCGCCTCACGCGCCCCACCACCTCACGCGCCCCACCACCTCACGCGCCCCACCACCTCACGCGCCCCACCACCTCACGCGCCCCACCGCCTCACGCGCCCCACCACCTCACGCGCCCCACCACCTCACGCGCCCCACCACCTCACGCGCCCCACCGCCTCACGCGCCCCACCGCCTCACGCGCCCCACCACCTCACGCGCCCCACCACCTCACGCGCCCCACCACCTCACGCGCCCCACCACCTCACGCGCCCCACCGCCTCACGCGCCCCACCACCTCACGCGCCCCACCACCTCACGCGCCCCACCGCCTCACGCGCCCCACCACCTCACGCGCCCCACCACCTCACGCGCCCCACCACCTCACGCGCCCCACCGCCTCACGCGCCCCACCGCCTCACGCGCCCCACCACCTCACGCGCCCCCACCACCTCACGCGCCCCACCACCTCACGCGCCCCACCACCTCACGCGCCCCACCGCCTCACGCGCCCCACCACCTCACGCGCCCCACCACCTCACGCGCCCCACCGCCTCACGCGCCCCACCACCTCACGCGCCCCACCACCCTCACGCGCCCCACCACCTCACGCGCCCCACCACCTCACGCGCCCCACCACCTCACGCGCCTCACCACCTCACGCGCCCCACCACCTCACGCGCCCCACCGCCTCACGCGCCCCCACCACCTCACGCGCCCCACCACCTCACGCGCCCCCACCGCCTCACGCGCCCCACCACCTCACGCGCCCCCCACCGCCTCACGCGCCCCACCACCTCACGCGCCCCCACCACCTCACGCGCCCCACCGCCTCACGCGCCCCACCACCTCACGCGCCCCACCACCTCACGCGCCCCACCGCCTCACGCGCCCACCCTCACGCCCCCACCACCTCACGCGCCCCACCACCTCACGCGCCCCACCACCTCACGCGCCCCACCACCTCACGCGCCCCACCACCTCACGCGCCCCACCACCTCACGCGCCTCACCACCTCACGCGCCCCACCACCTCACGCGCCCCACCGCCTCACGCGCCCCACCACCTCACGCGCCCCACCACCTCACGCGCCCCACCACCTCACGCGCCCCACCGCCTCACGCGCCCCACCACCTCACGCGCCCCACCACCTCACGCGCCCCACCGCCTCACGCGCCCCACCACCTCACGCGCCCCACCACCTCACGCGCCCCACCACCTCACGCGCCCCACCACCTCACGCGCCCCACCACCTCACGCGCCTCACCACCTCACGCGCCCCACCACCTCACGCGCCCCACCGCCTCACGCGCCCCACCACCTCACGCGCCCCACCACCTCACGCGCCCCACCGCCTCACGCGCCCCACCACCTCACGCGCCCCACCGCCTCACGCGCCCCACCACCTCACGCGCCCCACCACCTCACGCGCCCCACCGCCTCACGCGCCCCACCACCTCACGCGCCCCACCACCTCACGCGCCCCACCGCCTCACGCGCCCCACCACCTCACGCGCCCCACCACCCTCACGCGCCCCACCACCTCACGCGCCCCACCACCTCACGCGCCCCACCACCTCACGCGCCTCACCACCTCACGCGCCCCACCACCTCACGCGCCCCACCGCCTCACGCGCCCCACCACCTCACGCGCCCCACCACCTCACGCGCCCCACCGCCTCACGCGCCCCACCACCTCACGCGCCCCACCGCCTCACGCGCCCCACCACCTCACGCGCCCCACCACCTCACGCGCCCCACCGCCTCACGCGCCCCACCGACCTCACGCGCCCCACCGCCTCACGCGCCCCACCACCTCACGCGCCCCACCACCTCACGCGCCCCACCGCCTCACGCGCCCCACCGCCTCACGCGCCCCACCACCTCACGCGCCCCACCACCTCACGCGCCCCACCACCTCACGCGCCCCCACCACCTCACGCGCCCCACCGCCTCACGCGCCCCACCACCTCACGCGCCCCACCACCTCACGCGCCCCACCGCCTCACGCGCCCCACCACCTCACGCGCCCCACCACCTCACGCGCCCCACCACCTCACGCGCCCCACCGCCTCACGCGCCCCACCGCCTCACGCGCCCCACCACCTCACGCGCCCCACCACCTCACGCGCCCCACCACCTCACGCGCCCCACCACCTCACGCGCCCCACCGCCTCACGCGCCCCACCACCTCACGCGCCCCACCACCTCACGCGCCCCACCGCCTCACGCGCCCCACCACCTCACGCGCCCCACCACCTCACGCGCCCCACCACCTCACGCGCCCCACCACCTCACGCGCCCCACCACCTCACGCGCCTCACCACCTCACGCGCCCCACCACCTCACGCGCCCCACCGCCTCACGCGCCCCACCACCTCACGCGCCCCACCACCTCACGCGCCCCACCGCCTCACGCGCCCCACCACCTCACGCGCCCCACCGCCTCACGCGCCCCACCACCTCACGCGCCCCACCACCTCACGCGCCCCCACCGCCTCACGCGCCTCACCACCTCACGCGCCCCACCACCTCACGCGCCCCACCGCCTCACGCGCCCCACCACCTCACGCGCCCCACCACCTCACGCGCCCCACCGCCTCACGCGCCCCACCACCTCACGCGCCCCCACCGCCTCACGCGCCCCACCACCTCACGCGCCCCACCACCTCACGCGCCCCACCGCCTCACGCGCCCCACCACCTCACGCGCCCCACCACCTCACGCGCCCCACCGCCTCACGCGCCCCCACCACCTCACGCGCCCCACCACCTCACGCGCCCCACCACCTCACGCGCCCCACCACCTCACGCGCCCCACCACCTCACGCGCCTCACCACCTCACGCGCCCCACCACCTCACGCGCCCCACCGCCTCACGCGCCCCACCACCTCACGCGCCCCACCACCTCACGCGCCCCACCGCCTCACGCGCCCCACCACCTCACGCGCCCCACCGCCTCACGCGCCCCACCACCTCACGCGCCCCACCACCTCACGCGCCCCACCGCCTCACGCGCCCCACCGCCTCACGCGCCCACCACCTCACGCGCCCCACCACCTCACGCGCCCCACCACCTCACGCGCCCCACCACCTCACGCGCCCCCACCGCCTCACGCGCCCCACCACCTCACGCGCCCCACCACCTCACGCGCCCCACCGCCTCACGCGCCCCACCACCTCACGCGCCCCACCACCTCACGCGCCCCACCACCTCACGCGCCCCACCACCTCACGCGCCCCACCACCTCACGCGCCCCACCGCCTCACGCGCCCCACCACCTCACGCGCCCCACCACCTCACGCGCCCCACCACCTCACGCGCCCCACCGCCTCACGCGCCCCACCACCTCACGCGCCCCACCACCTCACGCGCCCCACCACCTCACGCGCCCCACCACCTCACGCGCCCCACCACCTCACGCGCCCCACCACCTCACGCGCCCCACCACCTCACGCGCCCCACCACCTCACGCGCCTCACCACCTCACGCGCCCCACCACCTCACGCGCCCCACCGCCTCACGCGCCCCACCACCTCACGCGCCCCACCACCTCACGCGCCCCACCGCCTCACGCGCCCCCACCACCTCACGCGCCCCACCGCCTCACGCGCCCCCACCACCTCACGCGCCCCACCACCTCACGCGCCCCACCGCCTCACGCGCCTCACCACCTCACGCGCCCCACCACCTCACGCGCCCCACCGCCTCACGCGCCCCACCACCTCACGCGCCCCACCACCTCACGCGCCCCACCGCCTCACGCGCCCCACCACCTCACGCGCCCCACCGCCTCACGCGCCCCACCACCTCACGCGCCCCACCACCTCACGCGCCCCCACCGCCTCACGCGCCCCACCACCTCACGCGCCCCCACCGCCTCACGCGCCCCACCACCTCACGCGCCCCACCACCTCACGCGCCCCACCACCTCACGCGCCCCCACCGCCTCACGCGCCCCACCGCCTCACGCGCCCCACCACCTCACGCGCCCCACCACCTCACGCGCCCCACCACCTCACGCGCCCCACCACCTCACGCGCCTCACCACCTCACGCGCCCCACCACCTCACGCGCCCCCACCGCCTCACGCGCCCCACCACCTCACGCGCCCCACCACCTCACGCGCCCCACCGCCTCACGCGCCCCACCACCTCACGCGCCCCACCGCCTCACGCGCCCCACCACCTCACGCGCCCCACCACCTCACGCGCCCCACCGCCTCACGCGCCCCACCGCCTCACGCGCCCCCACCGCCTCACGCGCCCCCACCACCTCACGCGCCCCACCACCTCACGCGCCCCACCACCTCACGCGCCCCACCACCTCACGCGCCCCACCGCCTCACGCGCCCCACCACCTCACGCGCCCCACCACCTCACGCGCCCCACCGCCTCACGCGCCCCACCACCTCACGCGCCCCACCACCTCACGCGCCCCACCACCTCACGCGCCCCACCACCTCACGCGCCCCACCACCTCACGCGCCCCCACCGCCTCACGCGCCCCACCACCTCACGCGCCCCACCACCTCACGCGCCCCACCGCCTCACGCGCCCCACCACCTCACGCGCCCCACCACCTCACGCGCCCCACCACCTCACGCGCCCCCACCACCTCACGCGCCCCACCACCTCACGCGCCCCACCGCCTCACGCGCCCCACCACCTCACGCGCCCCCACCACCTCACGCGCCCCACCGCCCTCACGCGCCCCACCACCTCACGCGCCCCACCACCTCACGCGCCCCACCACCTCACGCGCCCCACCGCCTCACGCGCCCCCACCGCCTCACGCGCCCCACCACCTCACGCGCCCCCCACCACCTCACGCGCCCCACCACCTCACGCGCCCCCACCACCTCACGCGCCCCACCGCCTCACGCGCCCCACCACCTCACGCGCCCCACCACCTCACGCGCCCCACCACCTCACGCGCCCCACCGCCTCACGCGCCCCACCGCCTCACGCGCCCCCACCACCTCACGCGCCCCCACCACCTCACGCGCCCCACCACCCTCACGCGCCCCACCCACCTCACGCGCCCCCACCGCCTCACGCGCCCCACCACCTCACGCGCCCCACCACCTCACGCGCCCCACCGCCTCACGCGCCCCACCACCTCACGCGCCCCACCACCTCACGCGCCCCACCACCTCACGCGCCCCACCGCCTCACGCGCCCCACCGCCTCACGCGCCCCACCACCTCACGCGCCCCACCACCTCACGCGCCCCACCACCTCACGCGCCCCCACCACCTCACGCGCCCCACCGCCTCACGCGCCCCACCACCTCACGCGCCCCACCACCTCACGCGCCCCACCGCCTCACGCGCCCCACCACCTCACGCGCCCCACCACCTCACGCGCCCCACCACCTCACGCGCCCCACCACCTCACGCGCCCCACCACCTCACGCGCCTCACCACCTCACGCGCCCCACCACCTCACGCGCCCCACCGCCTCACGCGCCCCACCACCTCACGCGCCCCACCACCTCACGCGCCCCACCGCCTCACGCGCCCCACCACCTCACGCGCCCCACCGCCTCACGCGCCCCACCACCTCACGCGCCCCACCACCTCACGCGCCCCACCGCCTCACGCGCCCCACCACCTCACGCGCCCCACCGCCTCACGCGCCCCACCACCTCACGCGCCCCACCACCTCACGCGCCCCACCACCTCACGCGCCCCACCACCTCACGCGCCCCACCACCTCACGCGCCCCACCACCTCACGCGCCTCACCACCTCACGCGCCCCACCACCTCACGCGCCCCACCGCCTCACGCGCCCCACCACCTCACGCGCCCCACCACCTCACGCGCCCCACCACCTCACGCGCCCCCACCACCTCACGCGCCCCACCACCTCACGCGCCCCACCACCTCACGCGCCCCACCGCCTCACGCGCCCCACCACCTCACGCGCCCCACCACCTCACGCGCCCCACCACCTCACGCGCCCCACCACCTCACGCGCCCCACCACCTCACGCGCCTCACCACCTCACGCGCCCCACCACCTCACGCGCCCCACCGCCTCACGCGCCCCACCACCTCACGCGCCCCACCACCTCACGCGCCCCACCGCCTCACGCGCCCCACCACCTCACGCGCCCCACCGCCTCACGCGCCCCACCACCTCACGCGCCCCACCACCTCACGCGCCCCACCGCCTCACGCGCCCCACCACCTCACGCGCCCCACCACCTCACGCGCCCCACCGCCTCACGCGCCCCACCACCTCACGCGCCCCACCACCTCACGCGCCCCACCACCTCACGCGCCCCCACCACCTCACGCGCCCCACCACCTCACGCGCCTCACCACCTCACGCGCCCCCACCACCTCACGCGCCCCACCGCCTCACGCGCCCCACCACCTCACGCGCCCCACCACCTCACGCGCCCCACCGCCTCACGCGCCCCACCACCTCACGCGCCCCACCGCCTCACGCGCCCCACCACCTCACGCGCCCCACCACCTCACGCGCCCCACCGCCTCACGCGCCCCACCACCTCACGCGCCCCACCGCCTCACGCGCCCCACCACCTCACGCGCCCCACCCACGCACCTCACGCGCCCCCACCGCCTCACGCGCCCCACCACCTCACGCGCCCCACCACCTCACGCGCCCCACCACCTCACGCGCCCCACCACCTCACGCGCCCCACCACCTCACGCGCCTCACCACCTCACGCGCCCCACCACCTCACGCGCCCCACCGCCTCACGCGCCCCACCACCTCACGCGCCCCACCACCTCACGCGCCCCACCACCTCACGCGCCCCACCGCCTCACGCGCCCCACCACCTCACGCGCCCCACCACCTCACGCGCCCCACCGCCTCACGCGCCCCACCACCTCACGCGCCCCCACCACCTCACGCGCCCCACCACCTCACGCGCCCCACCACCTCACGCGCCCCACCACCTCACGCGCCTCACCACCTCACGCGCCCCACCACCTCACGCGCCCCACCGCCTCACGCGCCCCACCACCTCACGCGCCCCACCACCTCACGCGCCCCACCGCCTCACGCGCCCCACCACCTCACGCGCCCCACCGCCTCACGCGCCCCACCACCTCACGCGCCCCACCACCTCACGCGCCCCACCGCCTCACGCGCCCCACCACCTCACGCGCCCCACCACCTCACGCGCCCCACCGCCTCACGCGCCCCACCACCTCACGCGCCCCACCACCTCACGCGCCCCACCACCTCACGCGCCCCACCACCTCACGCGCCCCACCACCTCACGCGCCTCACCACCTCACGCGCCCCACCACCTCACGCGCCCCACCGCCTCACGCGCCCCACCACCTCACGCGCCCCACCACCTCACGCGCCCCACCGCCTCACGCGCCCCACCACCTCACGCGCCCCACCGCCTCACGCGCCCCACCACCTCACGCGCCCCACCACCTCACGCGCCCCACCGCCTCACGCGCCCCACCACCTCACGCGCCCCACCGCCTCACGCGCCCCACCACCTCACGCGCCCCACCACCTCACGCGCCCCACCGCCTCACGCGCCCCACCACCTCACGCGCCCCACCACCTCACGCGCCCCACCGCCTCACGCGCCCCACCACCTCACGCGCCCCACCACCTCACGCGCCCCACCACCTCACGCGCCCCACCACCTCACGCGCCCCACCACCTCACGCGCCCCACCACCTCACGCGCCTCACCACCTCACGCGCCCCACCACCTCACGCGCCCCACCGCCTCACGCGCCCCCACCACCTCACGCGCCCCACCACCTCACGCGCCCCACCGCCTCACGCGCCCCACCACCTCACGCGCCCCACCGCCTCACGCGCCCCACCACCTCACGCGCCCCACCACCTCACGCGCCCCCACCGCCTCACGCGCCCCACCGCCTCACGCGCCCCCACCACCTCACGCGCCCCACCACCTCACGCGCCCCACCACCTCACGCGCCCCACCACCTCACGCGCCCCACCGCCTCACGCGCCCCCACCACCTCACGCGCCCCACCACCTCACGCGCCCCACCGCCTCACGCGCCCCACCACCTCACGCGCCCCACCACCTCACGCGCCCCACCACCTCACGCGCCCCACCACCTCACGCACCCCACCACCTCACGCGCCCCACCGCCTCACGCGCCCCACCACCTCACGCGCCCCACCACCTCACGCGCCCCACCACCTCACGCGCCCCACCGCCTCACGCGCCCCACCACCTCACGCGCCCCACCACCTCACGCGCCCCACCACCTCACGCGCCCCCACCACCTCACGCGCCCCACCACCTCACGCGCCCCACCACCTCACGCGCCCCACCACCTCACGCGCCCCACCACCTCACGCGCCTCACCACCTCACGCGCCCCCACCGCCTCACGCGCCCCACCGCCTCACGCGCCCCACCACCTCACGCGCCCCACCACCTCACGCGCCCCACCGCCTCACGCGCCCCACCACCTCACGCGCCCCCACCGCCTCACGCGCCCCACCACCTCACGCGCCCCACCACCTCACGCGCCCCACCGCCTCACGCGCCTCACCACCTCACGCGCCCCACCACCTCACGCGCCCCACCGCCTCACGCGCCCCACCACCTCACGCGCCCCACCACCTCACGCGCCCCACCGCCTCACGCGCCCCACCACCTCACGCGCCCCACCGCCTCACGCGCCCCACCACCTCACGCGCCCCCACCACCTCACGCGCCCCACCGCCTCACGCGCCCCACCACCTCACGCGCCCCACCACCTCACGCGCCCCACCGCCTCACGCGCCCCACCACCTCACGCGCCCCACCACCTCACGCGCCCCACCACCTCACGCGCCCCACCACCTCACGCGCCCCACCACCTCACGCGCCTCACCACCTCACGCGCCCCACCACCTCACGCGCCCCACCGCCTCACGCGCCCCACCACCTCACGCGCCCCACCACCTCACGCGCCCCACCACCTCACGCGCCCCACCGCCTCACGCGCCCCACCACCTCACGCGCCCCACCACCTCACGCGCCCCACCGCCTCACGCGCCCCCCACCACCTCACGCGCCCCACCACCTCACGCGCCCCCACCACCTCACGCGCCCCACCACCTCACGCGCCCCCACCACCTCACGCGCCTCACCACCTCACGCGCCCCACCACCTCACGCGCCCCACCGCCTCACGCGCCCCACCACCTCACGCGCCCCACCACCTCACGCGCCCCCACCGCCTCACGCGCCCCACCACCTCACGCGCCCCACCGCCTCACGCGCCCCACCACCTCACGCGCCCCACCACCTCACGCGCCCCACCGCCTCACGCGCCCCACCACCTCACGCGCCCCACCACCTCACGCGCCCCACCGCCTCACGCGCCCCACCACCTCACGCGCCCCACCACCTCACGCGCCCCACCACCTCACGCGCCCCACCACCTCACGCGCCCCACCACCTCACGCGCCTCACCACCTCACGCGCCCCACCACCTCACGCGCCCCACCGCCTCACGCGCCCCACCACCTCACGCGCCCCACCACCTCACGCGCCCCACCGCCTCACGCGCCCCACCACCTCACGCGCCCCACCGCCTCACGCGCCCCACCACCTCACGCGCCCCACCACCTCACGCGCCCCACCGCCTCACGCGCCCCACCGCCTCACGCGCCCCACCACCTCACGCGCCCCACCACCTCACGCCCCCCACCACCTCACGCGCCCCACCACCTCACGCGCCCCACCACCTCACGCGCCCCACCGCCTCACGCGCCCCACCACCTCACGCGCCCCACCACCTCACGCGCCCCACCGCCTCACGCGCCCCACCACCTCACGCGCCCCACCGCCTCACGCGCCCCACCACCTCACGCGCCCCACCACCTCACGCGCCCCACCGCCTCACGCGCCCCACCACCTCACGCGCCCCACCACCTCACGCGCCCCACCGCCTCACGCGCCCCACCGCCTCACGCGCCCCCACCGCCTCACGCGCCCCACCACCTCACGCGCCCCACCACCTCACGCGCCCCACCGCCTCACGCGCCCCACCACCTCACGCGCCCCACCGCCTCACGCGCCCCACCACCTCACGCGCCCCACCACCTCACGCGCCCCACCACCTCACGCGCCCCACCACCTCACGCGCCCCACCACCTCACGCGCCCCACCACCTCACGCGCCCCACCACCTCACGCGCCCCACCACCTCACGCGCCCCACCACCTCACGCGCCCCCACCGCCTCACGCGCCCCACCGCCTCACGCGCCCCACCGCCTCACGCGCCCCACCACCTCACGCGCCCCACCACCTCACGCGCCCCACCACCTCACGCGCCCCACCACCTCACGCGCCCCACCACCTCACGCGCCCCACCACCTCACGCGCCCCACCACCTCACGCGCCCCACCACCTCACGCGCCCCACCGCCTCACGCGCCCCACCGCCTCACGCGCCCCACCGCCTCACGCGCCCCACCACCTCACGCGCCCCACCACCTCACGCGCCCCACCACCTCACGCGCCCCACCACCTCACGCGCCCCACCGCCTCACGCGCCCCACCACCTCACGCGCCCCACCACCTCACGCGCCCCACCACCTCACGCGCCCCACCGCCTCACGCGCCCCACCACCTCACGCGCCCCACCACCTCACGCGCCCCACCACCTCACGCGCCCCACCACCTCACGCGCCCCACCGCCTCACGCGCCCCCACCGCCTCACGCGCCCCACCACCTCACGCGCCCCACCACCTCACGCGCCCCACCACCTCACGCGCCCCACCACCTCACGCGCCCCACCACCTCACGCGCCCCACCGCCTCACCCGCCCCACCACCTCACGCGCCCCACCACCTCACGCGCCCCACCGCCTCACGCGCCCCACCACCTCACGCGCCCCACCACCTCACGCGCCCCACCGCCTCACGCGCCCCACCACCTCACGCGCCCCACCGCCTCACGCGCCCCACCGCCTCACGCGCCCCACCACCTCACGCGCCCCACCGCCTCACGCGCCCCACCACCTCACGCGCCCCACCACCTCACGCGCCCCACCGCCTCACGCGCCCCACCACCTCACGCGCCCCACCGCCTCACGCGCCCCACCACCTCACGCGCCCCACCACCTCACGCGCCCCACCGCCTCACGCGCCCCACCACCTCACGCGCCCCACCACCTCACGCGCCCCACCACCTCACGCGCCCCACCACCTCACGCGCCCCACCACCTCACGCGCCCCACCACCTCACGCGCCCCCACCGCCTCACGCGCCCCACCGCCTCACGCGCCCCACCGCCTCACGCGCCCCACCACCTCACGCGCCCCACCGCCTCACGCGCCCCACCACCTCACGCGCCCCACCACCTCACGCGCCCCACCACCTCACGCGCCCCACCACCTCACGCGCCCCACCGCCTCACGCGCCTCACCACCTCACGCGCCCCACCACCTCACGCGCCTCACCACCTCACGCGCCCCACCACCTCACGCGCCCCACCACCTCACGCGCCTCACCACCTCACGCGCCCCACCACCTCACGCGCCCCACCACCTCACGCGCCCCACCACCTCACGCGCCCCACCACCTCACGCGCCTCACTGCACCCCTGCTCCTCGTCCTCTCCGTGGTCACCCATCCCACCTCTCAGCGACTTCCTCACGGTGTCATACGAGCAGGGAGGGGCGTGTGCGGTGGCGGCCCTGGCATCACTGTTCCGCCTGGTGACGGAGCACGGGTTGGAGGCGCCGCACTTCTACCCGTGCCTCTACCGCCTCCTCGACTCCTCCGTCTTCCGCGCCGCCCACCGCGCCAAGTTCTTTGAGGTGCCGTGCCGTGCCTTGCCATGCACTTCAGTGGCCATATCACATGCCATGCCACATGCCACCAGATGCCATGCCATGATGGTAACCACCTCCATGGCATCGCGGGCAATTATTGCCACATACCACGTTTTCCCACATGTCACTTTAAAATCCCCCCCACCCCCCTCTCTCCTCCTCCCCCCCCCCCCCAACAACGTCCCCTTTACTCCCAGCTGCTGGACCTGAGTCTAGCATCACCTCTCCTCCCGGCATACATGGCAGCGGCGTTCACGAAGCAGCTGTTCCGCCTCTCGCTGTGTGCGCCCCCCTCGGGCGCCATAGTGGTGGTGGCACTCGCCCACAACCTGCTGCGCCGCCACCCCGCCATCACCCCCCTCGTGCACCGCGCTGCCGCCCCTGACACATTCCAGGTAAGGCGCCACACACACTCCAGGTGAGGCGGGGCTGTCTCCGCATGGGCGGCAGTAGGGGTGCAGGTTGAGGCCATGGGACCACCTTCTCCTTGCCTCCGGGCTGGCTGCCGTTTCCCCTTGCCCCACAGTAGCTCCTGTGCTGCTCCTGTGGAATGTGCACAGTGCCCAGGCATTTCAACCTCGTTCTCTCTTCAGTGTACCATCATGTGATGTGGTTGTTGCGCCTTTGACTCCACAACGCTCTTGTGCGTGTGTGGTGTGGTGTGGTGTGGTGTGGTGTGGTGTGGTGTGGTGTGGTGTGGTGTGGTGTGGTGTGAACATTGCAGGACAGCAGCAGTGACGAGGAGGATGAAGGGGAACAGAAGCAAAGCACGCAGCGAGTGCAGGACGGGCAGGCCCAGCAGGAAGGGGATACGAAGGAAGGGGAGAAGGCGGGGAATGGCAAAGGCGAGGAGAGCAATGCTGATGGAGAGGAGGGTTCAGCTGGAGAGGAGGGAAGGGGGAGAAAAGACGGGGAAGGGAAAGGAGGAGGGAGTGGAGAGAGCGCGGCAGGAGCAGGGGAGGAGGGAGGCAGAGAGGGGAGGGCGACAGGGAGGGATCCATTTGATGAGGATGCCACCGACCTCATGGCTGCCCGCGCCCTTGGTACGCTCAAAACCAATCAAATTAGGTGATAGGTTGTGAGCAACGGGTCCTTCACGACACGCACACACGAGTAGCAGAAGCTTGCACACACACTCCCTTGGCTTCCCCGCTCTTGTGTCTGTGCGTGCCCTCACCCCCACCTCACAGACAGCAGCCTGTGGGAGGTGGAGGCACTTCAGCGCCACTACTGCCCCGCTGTCTCCCGGTACTCTCCCCCAAACTCCTGCTGCTTTCAAACCCCCTCTTCCTTGGAAACCAATGCGTTCTTTCCCTTCTCCACCCTACCTGGGCTTGAGCGCCCGCATCCTTTGGTCGTGCTCACCTCACCACCACCTCCATTCCTCTTCAGCACATGGCCTTCCTTCCCTTGTCTCGCCTCTCTTTCTCCGCCCCCCCCCCTTCCGCCTTCTTCCGTGGGAGCAGGTTTGTGGCGTCACTGGAGAAGGACCTATCGGAGCGCAGCAGCACGGTGGAGCTCAACGTGGCTGACTTCTCTGCCACCTCCTACGGCACCATCATGGCCGACGAGGTGCGTGCCGTGCAGGCCAGTGCATTGCATTGCAACGCAGCACAGCGCAGTAGAGTGCAGTGCGGTGGGCAGTGTGCCGTGCATGGTGCTGCACAGAGGCAGAGCTGCATTTATTGGTGTCACAGGGCAGAGAAGGCTAGGTGCAGAGCCCCTGATCAAGTTTCCTTTTTTCTTCAAGCCAATGTGCAGTCATCTTGGTTGGGGAAAGCTATTTGAACAGTTTGCTAGTGCATTTTTCCCCTGCAAGTTTTTGTCAACCCGGCTCACAATTTGCAACGCAATCCATGCTGCACACCCATAAGCTGTCGTGCTAAATGTGTTCTCTTGCTGTGATTTGTCTTTGACCCCTATCCTTTCCTCCACCCACCAGTTGGGGCGGCGAGTGAAGGCGGTGCCGCTGGCCTTCTTTGAGCGCACACCAACCACCCTCTTCCCCACCTCCTCATCCTCACCGTCTGCATCTGCCATTCCACAATTTGGTAGTTTCCCTGGGTGGAAGTTGTTTTAAGGTGGCAGCTAATACCACGCAAACGCCGATGTTCGACATCTCTACTTGAAATGCTGCTACCTCCTTGTGCAAATACCATTTAGTCTTGAAATGTACGGGATCCTCTCCCAAAGTCTGATAATAATATTATGCCTAAGCATTTTCAGATGCGGATTTGGTTGGATGGATGCGAGCTACACTAGATAGAGAGGGTATGAATACTAATTGAGTGAGATTTTTTTTTATGAGGAAAGCAGCTCCTCAGCTGTTGCAACACACTCCCTTGCCTTGCCTGTCGAGGTGTGACTTCAGGTAGAAACCATATGGTTTGGATTGTTTTTATTTATTTAAAATAAACCTTACACCAATGATGCAACTGTACAACACGGTACAGTCAAGCACATCTGCCAACGAGGGACACTTCAGAATTTCATCGCTGGACTCAGCTCTACACGTGCCCTTACACGTCAGATCGTAGCAAGCTGTGCTGGAAGAAAGCAGTCCACATCATTTTTCAGGCGGGAAATTCATCGAGTCCTTATCGTGCGGTGATTGCAGCTACGGAATGCGTAATTTTCTTCGTAAATCTTGATCGTACGAGCTCTTACCGACACCTTCTTTTCTTGATTTCAACGGTGGTAGTGGATTGTGGAAGCAAAAACCGTCCACTCCAATCACCGACACACACCAGCTGGCAAGAGTCGCTGAAATGTGTGTTGGTGGTGTTTCGGTGGTGTGTGTTTCATGTGTGTCTGGTGGTGTTTGGGTGACGGGTTTGCTGCTTGGGTGTTTCGGTGGTGTGGGTTTCATGTGTGTCTTGGTGGTGTTTGGGTGACCGGTTTACATCGCGAGCAAAATATAGATTTTCTCTCTAAATACTGTACGACACTTTCCGCATCTGGCACTTAGGATACAGCAGGCTGTGTTGCAGCCGTACCGAGACCTGGTGTTTAACCCTAAACATAAATGAAGTTGGGCAGCCCGTCGGAAACAACGCAGTTGCCCGCGTCCTATGTGACACGACCAGCTTCGGGCTTTGAGCGTTGAACTGCACGACGGGTAGAGAAGGCGCGCCGCATCTGACAGCGAGATCAATCAACCTCTCTCTCCTCTGCCAACCAGCGAGTTCTCCTCGACTAGTCATGAACTACAAAGGAACCACACCAGAACAGGATGCAATCAACCAGACTCATTTCTTTGTTCTCTTATCACCAGACCAAGCTCAACCAAGCACAAACTTTGTCTGCAACGCCAGCCCTCTTGACGCTTGTGCTCACCGCTGTCTTTTCGTTGGTCCCCTTTACAACTATCTTGTGACTTCCTGCCCTCCGCGACTAATCGACACTTCTGACAGCCAAACTTCGCGACGCGATGGCCCAATCGCTAGTCTTACGGCACGCCATCTCAGCCGTCCTCGCGTCCTCGCCCTCCACTTCGCAAAGACAACGCCCCGCCGCTAACCGTGCTCGTACGGGTCTGAGCGCGTCGATAGGCGACTTCAGCGCGGCGCCCATCCCCGAGTCGCAGGTGGTGCCACGGCTGTGCCACTTGGAGGACTTTCACGAGTCGTCGACGGGCGAGGCCGCCGTGCGGCCCGTGGCGCTGGCGGTGCGCGTGATGGAGGACGGGCACGGCAAGCAGCTGGCGGACCTGCTCATGGCCACCGTCGAAGCGTCCGCGCAGGTCGAGGACCTCGAGACCGTCGCCGGCCGGGCCGCCATGGTGAGTCGAATCAGCGCGACGCGCATCCTGCTTTCTGAAAATGAGAGGCTTTTGGTCGCAGGGGAATGTTCCTCTGTGCATTGCACTCAGCGCACTGCTTCCTCCGCGGTCGCCTCCCCTCCCCCCTTCCCCTCCCCGCCACAGGTGGCGCTGGCGCTCGCGCTGCTGGTAGAGTTTGCGACGGGCAACGGCATCTTCAGCGCCGTCGACCGCAGCGCGCTGCTCCCCGCGCTCTCGCTGGGCGTCGGCGCAGCCGCGGTGTCGGCGGGGTACGCCGTGGCGTGGCGGTCGAAGCGACACGTGTCGGACATCCTGGCGCGCGGGTGCTTGCACTGGCTGGACTCCGCCGTCGACCACCTCATCGACGGCGTCTTCGACGCGCGCCCCACCGCGCACCAAGCGCCGCCGCGACGGGACTAGGCGAGCCAAGAGCGCGCATGGAGCGTGTATGAATTGGTCTGCAAATGCGATTAATTCCGTGCGCGTGAGTTGAGAGGCAGCGCATGCTGACGTAACCATGAGAAGGATGAATTGGCGAGTCACACGGCCGCGGGCGGACAGGATAGTAGCAGACGCGAGGTCTCGAGGGAGGGGATCCGCGTGGTGGCGACGGATGGTAGTGTGTGCGTTGAAGCTTTTCGGTTGTGTGCGGTGCTTCGTGTTGTTGATGCTGAGTGGAAGGGGGGGGGGACTGCAGCGTGTGGCGGGCGACGTGCTTGTGTGAGGCTGATGCAGCAGCTGGGGTGTGTGTGCCAGCGTTACCGGATGCTGAGCTCGTTGCACCAGGTCACATACGCGTGGGCAGTCATCACTGGCTGTTGCCTCACCAGTCGACATGCAGGGCGTGGCGGCAGCGGGAGGGCCAAGTATGGCCAGAGGCAGAAGGGCCCACTCACAGCGAGACGAGTTCGGGAGAAGGAGCTGACACGTGACAGCTGCGGTTATTGGCGACAGCTGACACGTGACAGCTGCGGTTGTTGGCGACAGCTGACACACTTTGCTGCCTGCTCGTCTTTGGTGCTGCTGGGCTGGCTGTGAGCTTACTGCGGCATGAGGGGGCAAGTGTGAACTTAGCTTGTGGGCTTTGTGTTCTTCCTTCTACTAGGCTTGCTGCGGCGTCCTGCTGTGACCCGGTAGCAACATGGAGGGAGCGCATGCTGCTGAATCGCTGTTGTGGCGTCTGTAGGTGCTGCTTTTAGAGAGCTGTGGATTGGGAAGTGCCCCACCATTCTTTGGGCTACGCCCCCACAAGGCATTTCAGCTTTGTGCTTTGTATAAAGTGATATTGTTTTAAAGCAGATAATCTAAGCAGAGCAACTTTGCCAGCTCCTGTTAGCCAACCTCTAGTTTACCTCTGCCAAAAACAGCTTTGATTAAGAGAAGATTGAGTTGTCATGTTGTATACATAGGCAACAGGGCCCACTCGTCAATACGTCCAGCACTACCGGTAAATAATGAACTGTATAGCCTAGGGTGATGGGCACTTGAGCTGTGTGCCCATCTCATTTGGGATGATTTCGTGGCCACGTTGATTGCTTTGTCTGGGTAGTACCATAATGGCCAGTCAGCGTAGTACCACTTAGTAGGTGCTTCAGCCTGTAATGTCAGCAGGCACACCCTTACCCCTCCTGCTGCTCACACCTCGCCGCGTCACACTCCCGTAAACAGCAGATCCGCTCACCGCTGTGCTGCTGCCATCATCACACACCCCTCCCTCGCCCCCCTTAATGGGCGTGCTGCAGCCCAGCAGCACCGACCCGTCACTGCTGCCCCCCACCTCCACAGCGCTCGCGGCAGACGATGGTCGAGACCAGCTGCGAGTGGAGGGCAGGTCGATGCCCGCGCTCAGGCTGCCACTGGGGTCGCGGCGCAGAGGGGAGCGCGTGAGGCCCCCGGCAGCAGCAGAGGCGTTGAGCAGGCCGGCGTTCTTGAAGGTGGAGAAGCTGGTGGACTTGTGGAAGCGCCACAGCAGGTCCTCCACCACTCTCCCCCCCCATCGAGCTGCTGCCCCCAGATTCGCCGCTGCTGTGAGCGACCCTGCCCCCTCCTGCCCACCCCGCACGAACAGCCCCGGCCCTGATGACGACATGAGCCCCCACACTCCCAGTCCCCCGTCCCTGCCTGCTCTACTCCCACTTGCCGATTGCTCCGTCCATCGCCGTCTAGACGACCCACCCCCTCTGCCTCCCACCTCCTCCTCCCCACTCGCCCACCCCCCTTCTCCCTCGCTACCATATCCCCCTCGCCAAGTGCTGGTTCCCCCACCTCCCTCCTGCACGCCCAAGCCCCACCCAAACTCCTGTGCGCTGGTCTGTCTGGCTTCCCCAGTCCACGTGCTTCTACCAGCGCCTCTGCCCTGGGCGCCGGAGTAGAACCCCCCCACCCCTCCGCCCAGCCACGACAGGCGCCGCCCGCCCTCGTCGCCCTCGCCCTCGGAGAGGGACGTGCCGCGCTGGCAGGGGGGAGAGGGCTGCTCGCCCTCGGACGACACGTACTGCTCCGCCTCGCGCATCTGCACAAAGAAGAACGTCGACGCGCGCGCCCGCCCCGCCGCCTCTGCCGCCGCCAGGTTGCGACTGTGCGCCTCCGCGTGCTCCGCTGCTGCCTGCGCCGACACCAGCTGCAGGATGGCCTCCGACAGCGACCCCGCCCCGCCCCCGCCCCCGCTGCCACCAGCCATGGCGGCGCTGGTGGTGGCTGCTGGCGACGAGCTGCCCGTGCCGTGCTGCTCTGTGCACTGCTGGCTGCTCCCCGCGTGACTGGAACTGCGAGAGGGCGGGTTGACGAGGGTGGCAAGATGGGGGTGCAGGGAGGGGGGTGCGATGTGATAATGAGGGGGATAACACGAGACAGAGAGAGGTGACTTGGGGGGGAAGGGGGGGTTCCATCCAATCGAAATGTACAAAGGTGCCTCCCAGGTGAATGAGTGCGGGTAGAGGGGCGAGAAGGGGAGAGAGGAAAAAGGGTTGGGAGCAAGAGGGGAAGCGAGAGGAGGAGATGCCTGGTGGCGGGGAGGGGGTCACAGCGTCGGGCTTACAATGATGAGGTTGGCGCATGGAGAAGAGTAAAAGAAGGAGCGACAAGTGTTTGATCACGTGGGTGGGTTGCAATCCGCACACAGCACGCGCAGGGCGACGCTGACCTGGCACGGCTGCACGAGGTGGGGGAGAGCAGCGGCGGCGAGGCGGAGAGCGGAACGCGGATGAACTTCATGGCGAACAGCTGCGAGTCCGTCGAAATGCGGTTCGCCTTCTTTATGTCCGCCACCTGCTCGCCGCACACCGCGCACGGTGAGCAGCGCATGAGTGAGGCGGGATGGAAACACGATGCATGCATGGAATGGTTCAATTCGATGCAGGAGATAGACGTGCGCTTGGGAAGGGTCGGCGGGAAGGAGAGTGACGAGGTGCACACGAGGAGGGCATGCTAGACGGCGGGAGGGCGAGAGAGGAAGAATCTTGCACAGAGTGAAGCGAGGCTGCTGTCACGCACTGGCTGCGTGCTCATGTGGCGGGTCGGTGTTCGGGCGACAGCAGCGGAGAGAACTTTCTACAGACACAGCTATTGCACGAGTAGAACCTTGTACAGCGAGATGCGAGACACACAGATTATCGGGCTGACAGCAGCGGAGAGCAATGCTTTAGTTCCGCGCAGAAAGGCGGAGGTAAGAAGGAAGCACACAAGACACGGCAGTAATGACGAGAATATCTAGGTGGGCACGAGGAGAGCTGGGCTCGGGTGGGCGCACCTGGGCGCCATAGCGGATGGCGATGCCGGCGAGGGTGTCGAAGCGCGTCACCTCGTGCAGCACGCACTGCTGCCCGCCATCCCACCGCGCGGGGGGGGACACGCTCGGCGCCAGGGGAGAACCGCTGCCCAATGACATCCGCACGACGACCGTCTGACGACCAGGATCGTCACTGTGAAGTACATACGTCGCTTCAGGTCAACGTTTAGGCACCGTAAATCACGCTAGGCATGAATACGTAGTCCTGCGTTTGGACATCCCTCATCCTCTGAAACCTAATTTTCCGAGTTCCAATGAAAGAGTGCTGGTGGGGTGGCAGAGTTCGATCTCACTACTGAATGTGGAAAAGTCTAGGGAGGGTGGTGCGGTGGAGCGGGGAGTAGGTTTGCGAGTGGCGGGAACGGTCATTTTGCCTCAAGCAGTGAAGAACCCCAGAGCAAACCGTTGGGGCAGAGCTGTCGGTCGGGGAAGTCTGTAGCCCCGAGAAACCAGGAACGTCTTTGGTAACATCATAGATGATTCCTTCATAGGTAGAAATTCACAACCTACACTATCTACTACTATAGGATATATATTATATCGACTTCAACTGCCTGTAGGCTAGCTAGTGTAGTTAGTGTTACAAATTTCTGGGAGGTGCACCGGTGTGCCCACCCTCAAACACACACAGCTGTGTGACCGAACGGAAGAAAAACGCTCGGAACGAGCGTTTTCATCCCCAAAACGCGGAAGGATCCGCACATGTGCAGAAAATGCAGCAGGCATGGTTCATTCGCCAGTACCAATGACCGGTCATGCTCACCAACCTCTCAGGCTATTGCTGGCTAGGTAATAAGTCCAAACGCACACAGCCGCGTGACCAGACGGAAGAAAAACGCTCGGAACGAGCATTTTCATCCCTAAAACGAGGAAGGATCCGCACATGTGCAGAAAATGCAGCAGACATGGTTCATTCGCCAGTACCAATGACCGATAATGCTCGCCACCCTCCCACGCTCTTGTTGGCTTGGTAATAGGTTTAACGCACACAGTCGCGTGACCGAAGGGAAGAAAAACACTCGAAACGAGCGTTTTCATCCCCAAAACGCGGAAGGATCCGCACATGTGCAGAAAATGCAGCAGGCATGGTTCATTCGCCAGTAACAATGATTGATCATGCTCGTCACCTTCCCACGCTCTTGCTGGCTTGGTAATAGGTCCAAACGCACACAGCCGCGTGACCGAACGGAAGAAAAACGCTCGGAACGAGCGTTTTCATAACCAAGACGCGGAAGGATCCGCACTGTGCAGAAAATGCAGCAGGCACGGTTCATTCGCCAGTACCAGCGTCTGATCATGCTTGTCACCCTCCGCGTCTTGGTAGGAAGAGAGGCGGGGGGCGGGGCAGTGCGGTAGGGGAAGAGGCGGTAGTAGGGCACGGAATCGTCAAAAGTGACGTCCTGAGAGGGCAGGACACGGCGCGAGGTGGCGTGGTAAAACTGCCAACCAGACGCGTCCGGGACAAAGCCAAGGAAGACACAAGGAACAGCGCGGGAGGAGAGCTTGTCCGCGGACGTATCGCGAACAGAGATCCCCAGACCCAAAAACGCGACGCATCGCCAACCTCTCCCGTCCAACGCAGTGTCGGTGAAGTCTCCGGCAAGGAGACACGGGGCCAGAGGTTGAGCTGATGCGCAGCGTATCGGACCGCAAACGGCCACAGAAAGTGGGGGGTGAGAAGAAACGAGGAATGAAATGACTAAGTGAAAGTTGGGTACAAAAAGCAAACCCTAGAAAACTGTACTCCATATGTGCCACCCCACTATAGCCTACAGTAGCTATGTCATATAAATCTAACACACCCCCATAGGCAAAGTGGGGGAGAACAAGGGGTCACAGGACCAGTCAAGCAAAGCAAAACAAGCTCAGGGTGGATCACAAAGTCACCACACATTCCGAGCACAAGTTCAAGGCCACAAGGCCAGTTCACATGCAGGATTACATATATATATAAGGCTAGACAAGCAAGAGCAGGAGTATATATATATATGCATCAGTACAAACAAGGTCAAGGGGTGAGCAAGTGAGGCAAGGTGGGCACAAGACCCAGCTGAGTACAGAAGCGCTGATGATCACAAGGCGCAAGTGCCTTGGTGAAGATATCAGCAGTGTTGGCCTGAGAGGCCACGTACGCAAGCCGCAGCTGACCACGCTGCTGTAGCTCACGAGCAAGGAAGTAGCGGAGAGCAATGTGCTTCGTTCTGTGCTCCAGTCTCTGCTCTCGACACAAGGCCAGCATGGCCTTGTTGTCTACGTACAGCACTGGAGGAGAACGAGGCGGCTCTCCGAGGTCAGTCAGCAGGTAGGTGAGCCAGCGAAGCTCCTGTGCAGCCATGGCCCCGGCGTAGATCTCAGCCTCACAACTGGAGCCGAGAACAGAAGACGAGCGGGTAGCCCGCCACGAAACAGAGCCGGAACCAAGGCTGAAGGTGTAACCCTGTGACGACCGCTGCGTAGCCTGGTCGTCAGCCCAAGAAGCGTCTGCGTGCCCAGTGAGGACCACTGGACTCTGCCCTCCAAGCACAAGCCCCATGCCCGACGTACTGCACAAGTAACGCAACACCCTCTTCGCTGCAGCCATGTGCTCCGGTCTGTGTCTCCCAGGAGCAACATAGCGTGCGAGAATGCTAAGAGGGTATGCGAGGTCAGGTCGTGTGCAGGTCATCAGGTACATGAGGCAGCCAACAAGCTCTGGGTACGGGCCACTCGACTCTACGGACTCATCCGAAGGCAGAGCTGAGAGCGAGTGGCGAGTAGGCAGAGGAGTGGCCTGAGGCGAGGAGTACGTGAAGCCGAAGCGCTGAAGGACCTGCTGCACCATGTGTGACTGAGTCAGGGTAATGGTGCGGCGTGCTCTGTCCCGGGTGATCTGCAAGCCAAGGTAGCTGCGCAGTTCACCCAGGTCTGTGCACGTGTGTCTCTTCTGCAGCTCGGACTTCACGTGGGCGAGTCCAGCAGTGTCAGCTGTGGCAAAGACCAAGTCGTCGACGTACACGAGGATGTAGAACGGCGGCAAAGAAGTGTCGGTGCGCAGAAACAGCGACGGGTCGGCAGTAGAGGGAGCAAACCCAAGAGCCGCAAGTGTAGTCCTCAGTGTGTCGTGCCACTCACGCGGTGCCTGGCGGAGACCGTAGACTGGCCGCCGGAGGCTCCACTGGGTGCCAGGAGGAAAAGACCCAGTGAAGCCAGGTGGGCGACGCAGCCAGATCTCCTCGTGCAGGCTGCCCTGCAAGAAAGCAGTGCTGAAGTCAAGAGAGTGCAGCTCGTAGTCGCGGTGAGCAGCTATGTGCAGCAGTACCCGAAGAGTGGTCATCTTCGGGGTGGGAGAGAAGGTCTGAAAGTAGTCAACTCCCTGCCGCTGACTGAAGCCACGAGCCACGTAACGCGCCTTGAAGACAGGCGGAGAACCCGGCGGCCGCTTCACCCTGAAAATCCACATGCCACTGACGATGTTCGCCCCAGGCGGGGGAACCTCGTCAACGTAGGTACCTGTGGACTTCCAGGAAGCCATCTCTGTGTCCATAGCTGCCTGCCACTGAGAGGAGTAGGGACCCTCTATCGCCTCCGCGTAAGAGCGCGGAGTCGGGATGTCAAGTGCATCCGGGTCTCCCTCAGGGGTAAGCAGTACGGACACGAGATGAGGTGAAGCAGCAGCCAAACACTGGAACTCCTCCTGCCTGTCCTCAAGGACGTCCGTGCCAAGGGCACACTCACCCCCGACGGACGGAGGACAGACAGACTCAGACTCAGCGACAAGACAAGCAGCGTAGTCTAGACGACAGCGAGCAGCAAAGTCGACGAGCTCAGCAACTAGGGCAGACGCAGCAGTGGACGCAAAGGAAGGGTCAGTGACGACAGTAGCAAGGAGACGCGTGACAGTAGGACTGGCAGCACGAAGAGAGTCCGACTCTGGGTCGGGAAGAGCAGGAAGAGAGGACTCAGGAGGAGAAGGCAAAGGGGCACGCAGAGGAGCAGTGGACGGACGCAGAGACATCCGGTGCGTGCCAGGGACAGGAGGAGGACGCTGACGCGAACCACGACCACTAGCGCGAGCAGTACGGACAGGCGACGCAGGACGCGACGCAGGCTCACGACGCTCAGCAAGACCTCTAGTAGGACCAGTGTAGGGAGAAGGAGCGGGCAGTGGGGAGGCCGGCTGTAACTGTAACTGTGACAGGACAGGCTGTGGACTCTCTAAGGGAGGAGGAGGGCCAGTAGAAGGCGGGAGACCAAGAACCTGCTGAAGGAGCGGAACGAAGTACGGCCGAGGCCGCGCGGCGACTCCAGACACAGCAGGGACAGCACCAGTACCCCAAGCGGCAGCACCAGCGCCAGCAGCAACTCCAGCTCCAGTACCTCCAGCAGCACCAGTAGCACCCCCAGCAGGCCCGCCTCCAGGACCGACAGCAGTAGCCTCAGCGTCAACACCCTCAGCAGCTCCAGCTCCAGTCGTACCCGCAGGCCCAGCAGCTCCAGTACTCCCAGTACGAGCACCTCCGGGACCCGCGGCACCAGCACCCTCAGTAGCCGAAGAACCTCCAGCTCCAGCAGCACGCCTCCAGCGCCGGGCAAACCACTCGCGCAGCTCCTGTGGAGAGAGTGGCTCCCGCCGAGACGAAGCACCCGGAGAACCTCCAGGCTCAGCACCGCCAGACGCCACACAAGCAGGCCCAGCTCCCTCAGGCTCCACACCCCCAGGCCCAGCACCTCCAGGCGTAGCACCCCCAGGCTCAGCACCCCCAGGCTCAGCACCCCCAGGCTCAGCACCTCCAGTAGTAGCACCTCCAGGCTCAGCACCCCCAGGCTCAGCACCCCCAGTAGTAGCACCCTCAGGCTCAGCACCCCAAGGCGTAGCACCCACACGCTCAGCACCCCCAGAGTTAGCACCCCCAGGCTCAGCACCCTCAGCAGCACCAGAGTTACCAGTAACCTTGACAGGCTCGACTGCGTCTACCTGGGACACACCTGAAGGGGCAGGACCCTGAGGGGGGAGGGGGTCTACCGGGGGGGGACCTGGCACAAGGAAGAGCGGTGGTGGGGGGAGGGACGGAGTGCGGTAGGGGAAGAGGCGGTAGTAGGGGACCGACTCGTCAAACGTG